ACTCATTTTGGCTCCCACTCCACCGATGGCCTTTCTTTCATAACCAGGCTTCTAGAAAGAAAACATCATAGTTTTGTTTTGTTTTTGCTTCCCTATCTCGCATCCACGCTATAAATCTAAAATTCAAAATCTATGTATTGAGCAACTTTCATGCCCTAGGCTCTGTGATATGAACACAGTGAAGAGTTTATAGTACTCCTCAGATGTTTAATGTCTAGTTTATGGTGGGAGAGATGAGTATGATTAGTTTGAAGTATGGTGAGGTACATACCACCACAGCAGTGCATGGTGCCATGGGAGTACTTGAGAAGGGCCTCTAACCCACATGGGACAAGGCCAGGAAGGCTCCTATGTGAGGAGAAGTCAAACACAAGACCTGATGGACAAGTAAGATTAGGAGGGTAGTTATCAATTATTACATATAACTACTGGACCTTACAATGATCATTTATAAAGTCATTATGGGAAGACCAGATGAGAGGAGGGGTTAATTCCAAGAAAGCAAACAGAGGTAAATTACAATATGATGTGTTCATTTAAAAAAAAAAAATTAGGGGTGCCTCGGTGGCGTACTTGTTTAAGTGTCTGACTTTTGGTTTTAGCTCATGTCCTGATTTCAGGGTTGTGAGATCCAGCCCCACATTGGACTCTGTGCTGGGTGTGGAGCCTGCTTAAGATCCTTTCTCTCCCTCTCCTTCTGCCTCTCCCCTCTGCTCACACCTTGAGGTGCTCTCTCTCTCTCTCAAAATAAAATAAAATTTTAAAATTTAAAAAATCATGTCTCAGTATGTCTGGAGTTAGAAGAAGGGTTAAGGCAAAGGCAGGCTGGGGCAGTGACCAGATGACCAGATGATAAAAGCCTTATGTAGTTTTGCAAAGAAGCCAAGACACTGCGAAGGCAGCGATGGGAGTGACATAATAAAAATTGTATGTTGGAGAGATTTATGTGGTGTGAAAATGGATTGCTTTCCAGTTTTAAGACAGTAGTTAGGAAGAAGGTTAGACAAAGACAATCGACCTCAAATACCTAATAAGCTTCTCAGAAAAAAAGAATAGACTAAAAGGGAAGCTATACTGGACCAAAATATTAGCTGAAAATTTCCCAGGACTTAAAAACAAAACAAAACAAAGAACACAAGTTCTTTGATTGCAAGTGGCCACAGAGTGCCAGGCAGGACCAAAAACCAAAACCAAAAACCAAAGCCTACACCTAAGCACATTTTCATGAAACTTCATACATTTGTGACTAATGAGAAAAATCCTAAAATCACCTAGCAAGAACAAAGAAATACCTTAAGTGAATGAGATTCAGAGTTAGATAAGCTTGCTTATCAGCAAAACTAGATGTGAGAAGGCAGCAACATTATTTTTTAAATAAATGATTTAAGATATTCTCAGTCATGGTCAAAAACAAAAGCATAAACACAAAAATCCAGAATGACAGAGTAAACAGTTATATAAGTAGAGAAAAAAAAAAAAAGACGGATTTACTAGTCAATTTACAAGTAGCCAGAAATCGTGTTAAAATATACTTGACAGGGGCCCCTGAGTGGCTCAGTGGTTGAGTGGCTGCCCTTGGCTCAGGTCGTGATCCCGGGGTCCTGGCATCGAGTCCCACATCGGGGTCCCCACAGGGAACCTGCTTCTCCCTCTTCCTATGTCTCTGGTTCTCTCTGTGTGTCTCTCATGAAGAAATAAATAAAAATCTTTAAGAAAATAAAAATAAAATATCCTTGACGTTACAAGTAACCTAAGAAATATATGTTAAGTCATCAAGGTGGTAGTATGTTTTTCATTAATCAGATTAGGAATTTTAAAAAATACCTATAATTTCCAGGTGGGTGGGATGGGTGAAATAGACAAAGGGGATTAAGAGTACATTTACTGTCATGAGCACTGAGTGATGGATAGAATCATCAAATTATTAGAGTATACACCTGAAACGAATATTATACTGCATGCCAATTATATTTTAATTAAAAAAAAAAACCTACCATTTGCAGTTTTTCCAGGGCTGTGAAGAGTGTAATTGCTACCATTTATCAAGTGCTCAGTCAGCGCTTGGTACTTTGCTAAATTCTTTACATGTGTTGTTTCCTTTAATCGGACCCCCAATTCTAAAATGTTCAAATCCTAAAAGACCGTGTTGCATAGTATCATATCATCTATATCTTACAGATGAGGGACTGAGAGGCTCCTTGGGTGAGTCACCTGCTTGGCATTGCACTGCGAGTAAGGAGTAAGGAGTAGAGCTCAAGCTTTGAGGTCAACCATGCTGGCAGACTTATCCATATGGAGTGGGGTGTGGATGCCAAAATAGCAGGTCTTGGAGGGGGGAAGATAGAGATTTAGGCTGGTTTTTTTTTCCCCCTTGCCAGAGTGAGGCAGGTTCAAGTATGTTTGTCAAGAGTTGAGCGTGATTCCTAGTGGAATGAAAGACTAGAAAGTACTCATCCAGGGCTTTCCACAGCAAAAGAGAAAAGGACAAGTTGAAAGTAAAAAAAAGGAACAGAGGGGGAAAAATAAAAACTATGATCAGCATTGAAAAGGAGAAATGGGAAAAGCGCAGGAAAGTTTCATTTGGAAACTGTATAATGAGACAACTGGACAAAATGAGTTGCTTATTGCAGGGACTTGGATCTCTCACAGAAAGTAGAAGATTTACAGACTGGGTGAAAAGAACAATATCTTGCAAGAAGTTACTGTGGCCGAGTTCAAAAAGGGTGTTGCCTGTGTTCTCCTCTAGGATTTTGATGGATTCTTGTCTCACGTTTAGATCTTTCATCCATTTTGAGTTTATCTTTGTGTATGGTGCAAGAGAGTGGTCTAGTTTCATTCTTCTGCATGTGGATGTCCAATTTTCCAGCACCATTTATTGAAGAGACTGTCTTTCTTCCAGTGCATAGTCTTTCCTCCTTTATCGAATATTAGTTGACCATAAAGTTGATGATACTGCTTCAAGAGACAGCCCATAGGCAGATGATAGAGATAGGTGAAAACATATCTGAGCAATGCAAATGCAAATAAAAATTAAGAGCAAGAATATACCATACAAAGGATGTTTCAATGCAAAGTGAGAGCGAGAGAGCACACAAAATAGGACCAAGTAGAATTTGTTTCTTATATTTAAAAAACAAAACAAAACAAAAAAAAAAACAAAAACAAGAAAGAGGAATTTTTGGAGAGTATTTGCCAAAACCCAACTGTAGCCTTGCAGCTGGGTCTCAGGAAGGACAAAAAGCAAGATCACAAAGTCCCTGGGAAACAAGCAGATGTGCTCAGTCTCCCTCCCTCCTCCTCCCTCCCTGTCTCTTTCTCTCTCTCTGTCTCTCTGTCTCTCTTTCTCTGTCAGGCTGCTAGGTGGTTCCATTCTCCTTTCTTCGCAAATCAAGTTGTTTTTTTTTTGTTTGTTTTTTTTGTTTTTTTTTTCTGCTTTTGCACACATGTCCCAGGAGCTAAGTAGTCTGTACAAGCAGCCAGGAAAGAACTCCAAGGAATGTTTTACAACCACATGAAATCTATAAGGCTTCCGGCACTGGAGAACGTTGCTGCAAAATACATGAAGCACAAGGCAAGGCAAATGGTAAAATGTGTGTAGCTAAAGTGGGAACCATTGGGTGAACAGGGACCCCCTACAAATGAGACATCATAATATTTGTTATTTAAGCTACAGACTGGAGATGCTCTGAGTTTTTACCCAGGATCTGCTGCTACTCGCCAGCTGTCTAAATTTGTGCCAGTTATTTAAACTCTCTGGACTTCATTTTTCTCATCTGTAAAATGGGGGTGAGCCTACGTGATAAAATTATTAGGTGAGTTAAATGGGTTAATATTTAAGTGCGTGTGCCCCGCACATCGTAAGTGCCATATGTGGTTGCTTATAGTAATTACCTTCTGCACAAAATCAGTACTGTTCTGTTTTTAAAATCCCAACAGGGTGTTGTTTTTTTTTTTAATTGGCAAGCTGATTCTAAAGATTATTTAGAAGAATGAAGATATAAGACTTAGTCAAGAAAATGTTGAAGATTAATGAGCGTGCCCTTGCTCTGTTACAGTGGTACAGAGATTACCATGTGCCACGTGGGAAGGAAGAGGCCAACATTTTGAAGGAAAAGAATAGTGTCTGAAGGCGAGTGAGACGTACAGCTTTCCAGGTATGGAATGGGTAAGTCATGGGGATGAAAGACTCAGCATAGGGGATACAGTCAATGGTATTATAATAGCATTTTATGGACAGATGGTAGCTACACTTGCAGTGAGCATAGCATAACACATGGATATGCTGAATCACCATGTACACCTGAAACCAATGCAACATTGCATGTCAACTACTTCTATTAAAAAAAAAAAGAAGAAAAGAAAGAAGAAAAAAGAAAGAAAAGAAAAGAAAAGAAAAGAAAGAAAGGAAAGAAGGAAAGGAAAGGGAAGGGAAGGGAAGGGAAGGGAAGGAAAGGAAAGGAAAGGAAAGGAAAGGAAAGGAAAGGAAAGGAAAGGAAAGGAAAGGAAAGGAAAGGAAAGGAAGAAAGGAAAGGAAAGGAAAGGAAAGGAAAGGAAAGGAAGAAAGAAGAAAGAAAGAAAGGAAAGGAAAGAAAGGAAAGAAAGGAAAGGAAAGGAAAGGAAAGGAAAGGAAAGGAAAAGAAGAAAGGAAAGGAAAGGAAAGGAAAGGAAAGGAAAGGAAAGGAAAGGAAAGGAAAGGAAAGGAAAGGAAAAGAAGAAGAGGATAGGGTTCAGGAGCCAACAAGGGCCAGAACGCATCAGCTCCATCCTTGATACAAAAATCCTTCTAGGAAAAAAGTTACTGAAAAACATTTCCTGAATTATATTCTCTGCTTACAGAATGCTGGCTGTGTTATAAAACCGGATAGTTTTGTATCTTCTGCAGAAGACAGCAGACATGCAGGACCGCTCAGAAGTGTTTTGGTTTGTGTGTGTTTTTTCTCTTTTTAAGTTTGACAGTCTCCGGCATTAATGAGTTCGATCTGCCTCTGTTTTGTTTGCTGAGGGCAATTTCTGAACTCACAACTAGTGCAAGAGCACACACGATTGAATAAGCATCGAGGGGTGGGAAGTAGGTGAGGAGGATCTCATGTGATTTTTGCAGACCCTGGGGCACAGAGGAGTCTATTCGATTTAAGAATTGCACGCAGAGCACATCATTTCTCCATCGGTCGTGTGCTCAGAGAGCAACCCCAGTGCAGAAGCCTGGAACAGATGGACAGACTGCGAGCGGAAAGACAGCAGGCCCTCTTTTGCTTTTCTTCATCAGCCACGAATTGCCTGGCCTTAACTGAAATGCTCAAAGAAGGCGGGATGGCAGTTCCTACCTGTTAGAAACGTTTCTTGAAAAATAGGGAAGACAGGACCTACTCCAACCAGCAGTTGGTTCCAGAGGAAGTGGTTTGTTTGCTGGGACTTGTGGCAGAAGGAACAAGCCGGTAGATTTGGGGGGATGCAGGTGCTTTGGCATGACCTGGCTCCCCGGATCCTCCTACTTGGCACTCCAGGAGAGATGCCCCACTTAGCTGGCATGCAATTGCAGCTGAAATGCAGCTGAAAATCCAGAGCTCGTTCTTTTACCCTGAAGCATGACACTGCTTCATGGGCATATTTCTGCACCCAGGTTTTAAGAACTAAATTTTCAGTGGAGGATTTTGTGTGACTTTCTGACCCGATGGTATATATTTATAGCTATCATTAAAAAAAAAAAATCTTTTCTTTTTCAACCTCTCTCTGCTCTGCTTTTCTCTGACCCATCTCTTCACTTATGTTTCTTTCTTTCTTTCTTTCTTTTTTTTTTTTTTTTTTTTTAAAAAGGCTGTGCTGGGGGCCAACTCTGCCATCAGGGCATTGTATGAAAAGGCTAATTGGGAAAGACTAGATTCTCTTTGGTTTGATAGCTGCTGATGTTTTGATATGTCCAGCGAGCCATCTGCAACTACGAACTCCCTGCTGAGTGGCTGGCTGGGAGACAAAGAAAAGGAAAACAGCAAAGAAGTCACCATGTGATGTGAGCGGAGAGTTTTTGGCAGCCTGGCCGAACTCAGACCATAATCCTTTTCGGAAATCATTCTAAACCGGAATTCTTCACAATAAACATGAAATTAAAAGCATGATGTAGTAGTGACCCAAAAGGAATGTGAAATCTCCTCCAGGATATGCAGAGACCTGTGGATGCTTTGTTTCTAGACTCTTGCTCCAGCTTTCCTGAGAGTAAGTTAATCTCTAAAATTGTGGTTGTTTTGCATATACAACTATAACTTACGACTTCAAACAGGGAATGCCAAACATTTAGATGGAAACTATTAAAATGCAGTAAATTATTAGTTGTTCTGATTTTCCAAGTCATCTGAGTATTTAATGTTGTATGGCTTAAAAAACCAGTTGGAGAACTAAGTGGGGCTTGCTTTTTTTTTTTTTTCTTTTTTTATCCCATGACTATAAAGTATGTTTGGACAAATAGCATATATTATCTTAAAAAGGTATTGGCTGAATTGAAAGGAATGTAACTTTACGTTGCTGCCTCTTTGCAAGCATGGGCTGTCTCCCAAGTGATTAGAATTACTTGTTGTTTTTTGTTTGTTTTCAGTTTTACTGCCAGAGGATCCATAAGCATGAGTGCGTAGGGGGGTGGGGGGGTGGGGAGGGGGCACACGATTTTCTGAGTCTTGAATTGTTTTAATTGGCTTGAGAATATTTTCATCAAGAAAACTCAGGGCAATATTTCTATTGACCTTCTTTATCATACTCCATCAATTGGAATCTTGATCTGATCTGTTGTGCAATGTGTTTATTTTCTGACTACGAGGAATTCTATCTGGTGGGGAGTGGCTGGCTTTTTATAGCCACATTATTATTTCTAGATCACACTTCCTATCTAGAGCAATTTAAATTAGTAAGATATTTTATGTTCCTCTGGTGAACAGTAATTTTTTTTTCCTTTCCCTTGATCTATACATTAGAATGTGTATATATCCTGATGGGAAATACCCTGTATGGGGGGCGGGGGGGGGGAATGGGACTCAGTCCTTAGGAATAAATAACCACCATCATGACAGTTCATTCTTCTGCAGTCATCAAGACTTTCTAGCACATGCATCTCTCCACAGAAAGAAAGGAGAGTATGCACGTAGGCAACATATTTAACCGTCTCTGATACCATGGTTCACCAGGGCACTGACTGCTCAATTGGCAATGTCGTGGTCTCTTTCGGTTGGGGTCTCCAAGCCATCACAGCCTGCTCCAGTGGCACCATCATCAGGAGCTCATCCACATGAGCTGGATCCCTTTGTTCATTTTTGGACAATTTTTGTTCCACAAGGGGGCACCTCATAAAGGCAACTCTTTTATGTCCTAGAGCCCTTGTCCTTGTCTTACTCTCAGGCTTTATGCTCTCAGCCTCCTTTTATGCTCCTTGTATTAATTTTCTGTGGCAGCTGCCACTGATGACCGTGAACTTCATGGCTGAGGACAAAACAGATTTATCATCTTACAGTGTGGGAGGTGAGAAGTGTGATGTGAGTCTCTCTGGACGAAAATCAAGGTGCTGGCAAGGGCTGCATTCGTTTCTGGAGGATGCGAGGGAGAATTCTGTTTTCTTGCCTTCTTGAGCTTCCAGAGGCTGCTGGCATGCCTCAGCTCGTGCCCGCCTTCCTCCATCTTCAAGGCCAGCAATGGGTTGAGTCCTTTTAACAGCACCTCACTCTGCCCTTTTCACTTCTTTTTTCTACTTTTTAGGACCCTTGCGATTACCTTGGATCCGTCTAGATAACCCAGGATTATCTCCCTGATTTAGAGTCACTTGATTAGCAGCCTGACTCCCATCTGTTACCTTAATTCTCCTTTGTCATGTAACGTAAAATATTCACAAGTTCCAGGATTAGAACAGGACCCTTATCCTGCCTGCCTTGTTTCTCTTCAGTTTATTCCTCGCCTTTCAGATTGAAATGGCAGATGCCCAAAATTCCCTGGAACACACAATGATTAGGTTTTATTTGTGCCTCGAGTAGGTGATCTTCGCATTCGCTCTGCCTCCTGAATACCAGTAGAGACCAGCATATTCATGGCTGTGCTCTCGCCCCATGGATAAGATCGATATTAGGCCATGACTCCAGTAGCCAGAAACAACCTCATTAATAATTTGATGGAAAAGACAATAAATGGCAATTCTGTGGTTTCCATCCTTCTTCAATATGGCACCAAAGGAGGACACAACAACCCCCCAAACCCAGGTCTTATTGGCCATTTGACCTTGTGCTCCAAGCCTTGTGCCAAAGCTCAAGCCACTACCCTTGGAACAGGTAGTGGCTGTTTCTGGCTACTAGATTCATGGCCTAATACTGACCTTATCCATGGGGCGAGAGCACAGCCATGAATATGCTCATCCCTACTGGTATTCAGGAGGCAGCTCAAATGTGAAGATCACCTACTTAAGGCAGAGAGAAATTCCTCTCCTAATGTTGGGTTCTATTAACTAAAACTACGTTTCATGTTTTCTTTACCAACTAAGATAATTCATGGGCATTCATGCTTTCTAAGTCTCGGTAATTTTGTTATTCTTCCTGACGAGAAAATAATGAAATAGACTTCTTGCGATTCAATTACGTAGCTCATTCTGGGAGATAGGCTAGTAACTCTTGGACTTCACTAAGATGACCATATAAATAATTGCATCATGCTACCATTACCAGACTGGGTGTTATATCTGCAATCTGCTGCCTTCACTGGGTTTGAAAGAGATTATTTAATCACTGTTAGGTATATCCTGAATTGTTGTTATATAGGTTCTCTCTATATAATGTCTTAGGTAAACAGTTTTTTTCTTAGAGATTTTATTCATTTACTCATGAGAGACACATACACAGAGAGAGAGAGAGGCAGAGACACAGGCAGAGGAAGAAGCAGGCTCCATGCAGGGAGCCTGACATGGGACTCGATCCCAGGTCTCCAGGATCAGGCCCTGGGCTGAAGGTGGCACTAAACCTCTGAGCCACCCGGGCTGCCCTCTGCAAACAATTCTATGAAGTTGCTGATGACTTGACCTACATACTGGAAACTGATAGTCTGGCTGACTGGTAGACCTGTGTGTAAGCCTAAAGGCTAGAGCTCTCTCCCTGTGAGCCTAGGTCCTTACCTGGCTTACTTCCAAGGCCAAGGTTGAGCCCATAAATAGGAGGCAATGAATGACTGGTCTGCTGAGCAACATGGGTGCCTGTAAATCATCAGGCCTAAATTGCCTCCAATAATATACAATTAAAATGAGTTTCCAGTTCAAGGAACTCCCAACTACAAACTTATCTGATTAATGTGTTTGCTGTCTGCCCACCCCTTATCCCTATTTCTACCTCCCACCTATCCACTCATATGCATGCTGGAGTAACAGGCATCATGAATCTGAAAATTATTTTAGGTGCTCTTTTCTCCTGGCAATAAAATGGGGCCCGCAACTTCGCAAGAACCAGATTTTCTGTAATGACCCCACACATACCTCTTTACCCAACAGGCCTTACCACAATAACTCTATTTTTCTGCCCTTAGTTTTCCAACAAAGAACACTTTCACACCACTGGGTGCAACTCTGGCAAGGTCTCAGAAGCTAGACAGCACAAGAAGTCACAGAGCTTCAGGGGTTCTATTTTTCAGGAACATTTTTTTACCCTTTTATCCTTTTCGAAAATCCAACATGGTTGTGGGGTGAAGAAAAACTTGTTTAGGCTGTTTTAATTCTTTGCATTTTAGACTCTATTAGATTCTACTTCTTGTATCCCATCAATACATTATCTAAGCTTTGACCTTTCCCTCCTTGTCTTTGCAAATACCCTTTCCGGTGGACGCACCTTGTCTCTCCACCCACACCCAGATGAGGTGCTTCCCCCAGATATGGAAGCTGCAAGATTGGCTCTCTTTGTACCCATCATGGGCTTGTCTTTCTTGAGGATTCAGTTCATCAAGGTCTCTTCACATTTCTTGTTTTTTGTTCATGCCATGGGAAATGTGGTTTTAATTTCGTTTGGGCTATTGTTGTTTCTTACCACTGGTGTAAAGATGTTCCGCATTCTCCTATATCTCGGCTGTGGACTTGAACAAAGCAACGATATTGTATTCATGCAGAATTGCATCACCTCCCTGATATTCCATGAGGTGGAATCAGATGCCATGCATCTGCCATGGCCTTTAACCCTACAGTTCATTTCAAGTGAGAGAATGTTGTCTGGTTCTCAGGGTTTCTTAATAACTTTAGATTCAATTAATTTTCTCAATCTTTGATTAATATGCACATTTCAATCCGGGAGTCAAAAAACTTTTTTGACATTTGGAGAATATAAATAATAGTGAAAGGGAATATAAGGGAAGGGAGAAGAAATGTGTGGGAAATATCAGAAAGGGAGACAGAACATGAAGACTCCTAACTCTGGGAAACGAACTAGGGGTGGTGGAAGGGGAGGAGGGCGGGGAGTGGGGGTGAATGGGTGACGGGCACTGAGGGGGGCACTTGATGGGGTGAGCACTGGATGTTATTCTGTATGTTGGTAAATTGAACACCAATAAAAAATAAATTTATTATAAAAAAACTTTTTTGAGGGTATTCCTTAATTTGAGGCAGAATTTAATAGTTTGGTTGACATTTCTTGGGGGAATGTCTGTGGTTTGGGGTTAAACCATGTTCTAATTTTATTGCAAATAAATAATTCAATGTTTTTGGATTTATCCCGTTTGGTAGATTTTTCAAAGGAAAATAGGCGAATCCACTTTGAAGATATCAGGTTGATTTTCATTCCATTGCAAACTGTTTACTCATTCCTTACTGAACTACCCCCTCGACCCTGTCAACTTGATTCCAACTTTTTCCTTTATCCTTTAGTTTTAAAAAAATTGTTATTTTTTGTCATTGTATTTGGTACTTGGAGAGCCTTTTTGTGAAATATACATGTCTTTCCACTACATTGAAAAGTTAATTTCCACTGGTATGCTTTTTTTTTTAACCTCAATATCTTTTTCTCCAGACTGTGTTCTCTTCTTTTTGAGTATCTCTTTACCAAAAACTTTACTTCTGATCCTATTTTTTTCTTTCCACTTATGTGTTTTTTTATCTCTCTTATGGTTTTTAAGTGAGTTTTAATTTTCATTGAAAATTTGGTAAGATTACAAAATTTTTCTCTGTATCAGATTTTGTGTTCTTTACTGACTTCAGTGGGATTTTTAAGCATGTACTTTGCTTTTCATTTCTTCTTACCTTTCCTCTTGAATTTTATTATAGTTGTTAAGCGGAAGACTTAAAAACTTTTCTTCTGTTTCTTGCAATAATGTTTTCTTTTTAAAAGATCATATATTTACTCTGCCTCTTGAGAGAGTAATCAATCTTTCCTTATGTTCCAGCATCTAGGGGCTTCTGATGACGATCCACAGACAAAAACCTGTGGATAAGTAGTCTGAGTGCATCCCTCCTAGAGCTCCTCACCACCTGTCTGGATGCTAATAGAATCTCTGATCCTGCAGGAAAGAATTGATCCACACAATCCCTAGACCAACTTCCACAGGACTGGCACAGTGGTTAAGAGCGAGGTCTCCAGAACTTGGTCACCCAAGTTAAAGCCCTGGTTCTGCCACCCAGCTGTGTTTGGCAAGTCACTTAGCCTCTGTGTGCTTCATTTCCCTCCTCTTTTAAATGGACAAAATAATGGGATCTATCCCAAGGGCTTCTCATGAAGATTAAACTAATTGATTTGGTCATTAATTTGAATTTCCCTTTGTATGTTTTTAGCCTTCTGGCTCCCTTTCCTACACATGCAATTGGAAACAGCTGTTATGGTACTTCTTTTTGGTTTGATTGCACAATGTTTCCTATTTCAGACATTCACATTTGCTCCTTTCATTTCTTTATTTTAAAATAAACAGGTCAGAATGAGCAAGAGGCACATAAATGTCGGTCAGCAAACATGGGCTCTCCTCTGTAAGAACTTTCTGAAAAAGTGGAGGATGAAAAGAGAGACTTTGTTGGTATGGTTCAGAGTCCACGTCTTCTCATATTTAGAAGAGGAGAATTTTGGGGGGGGAGGGGGGCAGTGCAGTTTATCTTCATTATTTAATGTTTCATGTATGTATTATATTTTTAACCAACAGGCTGGACTTTTATTGTTTCAAATTCTGGACTCTGTGATCACTTCAAATGAGAGTCCTTTAAATATATTACTATTATTATAGGTCTTACTAAAGGCATTCTTTAAATAATTGATATTCAGAAGCTCCCTGAAAAATAAAGCCATGTCTTTATATTGCAGAGATAATAATTCTAAACATCTGAACTTGTTTGAAATTCATGAAGAAAAAGGTAAAAAAAAGTTCAGGGTCATAGTCAAAGAAAGAAGTAAATTTAGAATTAGAAAATCTAGAATTGGGTATCCCTGGGGGTGCAGCAGTTTAGAGCCTGCCTTTGGCCCAGGGCACGATCCTGGAGACCAGGGATCGAGTCCCGTATCGGGCTCCCTGCATGGAGCCTGCTTCTCCCTCTGCCCATGTCTCTGCCTCTCTCTCTCTCTCTCTCTCTTTATATATATATATATATATATATATATATATACACATATATATATATATAATATGAATAAATATATATATAAGATAATCTAGAATTAATCCAGCAAGTAATCCAAAATTAAGGAAAAAACTCAAAAGATAAATTGTAGCACTTCTACTCAGTTGTACTGTGGATACAGGCAATGTCAATGGGAAAAAAATAATGGGTATACAAACAAACAGGAAAAGAAAATGGCATTTTCAACTTTTGCTTCTATTAAGAGACTACTTATTTTCTACTGATAAGAATGATCAATATAGAAAATTGTGTAAAAGACTAAGGAAACTGATAAAAGTGTATTTAAAAAGTTAAAAATGGTTTATAAAATACCCAAAGTGCAAGGATTAGCATATTAAAATTTGGTCTTATGAACATTATGTACGTGTGTGTGTTCTTTCAACAAAGCTATTTTGAATGCTTGGATTGGCAGTAAATAAAGCATACAAAAATCCCACCATGGAGCAAAGATTATATAAATATAAATATAAAAGTTGGATTCTACTCTATAGAGATGTGTTACTTCCAACATTTTACCCATTTTTAATATACACATTATATCTGTCAATTTATCCATCTAAGTGGATAGATTTGGTATAGAGCAATACACGTACTAAAGTAAGATCAGGTGGTAAATAAGATATATACCACTTTTAAAGCCCCTGTGTTTAGAGCTGAAAGTAATAAAATGTGTTCTTCGGGGCATCTGGGTGCCTCGATGGTTGAGCATCTGCCTTTAGCTCATGTCATGGTTCTGGGGTCCTGGGATCGAGTCCCGCATCAGGCTCCCCACAGGGAGACTGCTTCTCCCTCTACCTGTGTCTCTGCCTCTCTCTCCCTGTGTCTCTCATGAATTTTTTTTTTATAATATGTTCTTCATACCAGACTTCAAATGCATTCTGTTGCATTTCCAATTTCAGAATGTTGTCACAATGACAAAGATTTTTTTAAAAATTCTTTTTATGAGCAGTATTTTGGCACTCTCTTCTCCCACTTGCAGGGCCAAAGCAGGTAAAAATTGGCACTTGCTCCTGTGGATGAGAGCTGGAAACCAATTTCATGATAGCTAGCATTTCTTTATCATTGACACTCAGGTCAGCATGACTGTAAATCACTGGGCCATTCATGAAGCAATTTAGCTTCTAACAGTCATGTTAAAGTATGATAGACTTAGACTCTCAGTTATAATTGGAATAAATGCCACAACTCTCTCTTGGTAGATGATGCACATATTTCAAAATGTCTAATCAAAGGATAAAAGAAAATGGAAACATTTGGGGAACCATGAGAGAGGAAAAAAATGGCCCAAATTGCATAACAATACTAAGTGTTTTAAGTTGTTCGTGGATGATTTATCTGTGGATGAACAGCTACTGATTTGCTTCATTTTTCTCTCATTGCCGTGTAGGAATGGTTTTTCTCATTTCTTCTAGTGCTGTTTACATATCAATTCTCCTCCAATTTACATCAAGTTAATGACTTTACTCAATTGCCTGCAATGGATCTGGGACGTGTAGATAATTTTAATGATTCTAATTATGTAATTGCATTTGCACCTGAATCCAAAACAACCCAGGAGATAATGAACAAGGTGGCTTCAGCCCCATTCATGAAAGGTATGTTCCCTGGCAGATCTTGGTGTTTTCCTTATTTGCAAAGCACACAAATTTAATTTGGGATTTCCTGTTATCCTCATTATAGTCTATATCAAAATGAGACAGTCTGGTGTTATTCGAATGTATGTTAGTGAGAAGATTCTGGAGATGTTGGACAGTGCTGACAGCAGGGTTTTTAAATCTCTTCAAATCCATAAAAAATTGACAGAGAAATTAGACAGCAAAACCAAGAAATCACAGGCAGTAGTCATAAACAAAACCAGGTGGCAAGGTTATTTCTCCCCCATGTTCTCTCTCTCTCTTTCTCTCTCAAATAAATAAATAAATAAATAAATAAATAAATAAATAAATAATTTTAAAAAATTTTGTCATTCCAGATAGATAGGAAATCAGTGATAACAGATTCTATCAAAGGGGCTCAGCAACCAACTTGAGGATATTCCCACTGGTCTAAGTTGGTGTACTTTGAGCTTCAAAAAGAATAATACGTGCGATGATTTGAAACTCATCCCATGTATATGTAAAATCCAGGCTTTCCAAATGTATAAAGAGAAAAGAATCTCTTTTGGAGGATGGTACAGAACCAGTCCTTCTTATGAAAATTTGTACATAAAGGGAAGATACCAGGATTTATCCTATATGAACTGTACTATTGGATAATCAAACAGACAATGGGAAGTGCCATTTTTATAATATTTTCTACCAATAAATAAAAAACAAATGATGGAAATATACTATCACCATTTTGATAGTCCCATTGAATTAATGGACCTAGGCACTGAGCATCCATGGCTACTAACATCTTCAAAAAACCAGATTATCAGAAATCATGATACTCTGACGAAAGAACACACCATCACCTATAGTCTTGCCAAAGGGATTTGACCAGACTCTGATTAAGCCTCTGGATGGCAGCTGCCAGATTGCAGGAAATGCAGACGATTAGGAGCATGTCGAATTGCACTAGAGCCGTGGGCATCCAACAGAATCTAGACTCCAGGGAATTACATGGTTTAAGTGACCCAGGTTTGGTCAGTAACAGTCATTAATTCATATTATATCTTTTGGAATAAACAACGTACCTTGAGAAAACATTCTCCAAATTTAACAACTTTCTACTGTCTTTGGAAGTTTGGCCACGTTGACACCATCACCATATGAAAATACATATTATAATCATAGCATCTACTTCATCTTTGGATAGATCTGTGTGTAACATGAGTGATATTGCTGCTATTTCAAATTCATTGTGCTTTAAATCCTGGGTTTAAAAGTGTATTTGGAAAGGTATGATCTATTTGTGATAAAAGCGATCTCCACATAACCGTGATTTTATCTAGAATTTTAGACACTTCCCCAAGGTGTGAGTCTGTTTTTAGGACCAGCCCTGCCTTTAGTGAATAAAGGATTTTAACATAAAACAACTTTAGCATAATTGGATATGGCATGGCATGCTGTTGTTGGACCACATGGAAATCTTCTAACTTATCAGCTACTTCTTTCTTTCATGCCAGGAAGAACAGTCCTGGGGTGGCCAGATGAGAAAAGCATGGAAGACTTGGATTTAAACTACTCTGTAGATGCAGTGAAAGTCCTCTTTAATGATACCTTCTCATATCATTTGAAATTTTTCTGGGGAGGTAGGATCCCCAAGGTGAAGGAACACAGAGACCATTCAGGTAACTTTCCTACAAGAAGTTTGGGGTTTGTGTGTGTGTGTGTGTGGTTGTGCGTCATCAGCCACCAGTGGGCACATGTGGTCACTGAGGGCTGCACAAACCTACACAGGTGCACTCTTAATTGCTAAACATACATGAGATTCATTCTTATTTTAAACAAGCTTGTCTCCTTCAGTAAGTTGTTTAATTAAGAAATTGTATTTGCTATTATTCCTGTGTTGCTCCTAAATACACCCTGATGGAAAGATTCTTGCTCAGTGATTCCCCAACGTTTAAAAAAGTGTAGCACTTTCTTGGCATAAGCAACAGAAGAGCAGAGCTCAACAAAACATTCTTGGCTAACTGAGAGCATGACAAGAACGAATGAAAAATTGTTGGTAACTGGTCTTAACTACATTAACCAAGCAATTCTGGTGTGCTCTTCAAACCTCACCCGAGAAGTCCTACCATACACTCTATTATGGTGGACTTGGAGGGCATTTTGAAACATTTGAGGTTTTGCTTTTTCCCCTAACCAAGAATGTCCCATCCCACCATAAACGGTTGTGTTCTTTTATTAAAGCTCATTGTCAAGTAATGGATGAAAAAGTCACATGCGAAGCTTCAATGTTCTGGGAGAAAGGCTTTGTAGCTTTTCAAGCTGCCATTAACGCTGCTATCATAGAAGTGAGTATATGAAGCTAAAGGAAACCAACTGCATTGCAAATTACATTTCCATGATGGTGCTATAATGGATTGTCCCATCTCGGCATTTAATTAATTGATTCACTTATTTGGCACAATACACTGAACAACCGTTGTATTTAAGCCATTACACTAAGCAATGAGGATCAGGAGATCAGTAGAACACGGGTACTTTTCTCCAGAGATACTGGGCAGTGAGGAGATAGAGATATGGATATGAAATCACAGTAAGAGTTTAGGTTCTATTGTGGAATTATACATGCGTGCAAGGCAAATAATGGAGCAGGAGATACTTGATGAGAAATATCAGGGAAGATGGCTAACAGAAGCAGCATTTCAGTTGTGCCTTCAAGCCTGAGTAAAATTTTGTTCAGTGAAGACGATAAATAGGAAAGATCTGAGGATCCGGGACAGAACTTGGGAGCGTTTCAGGAACTACACGGGGCCAAATCATGATGAGCCTATTTATTTACATGTGGAATGCACATAATTTCTTATAACTGAGGGGAAAACTCATGAAATTATAAATTGCTTGATGATAACAATTTGTTCATTGATACCTTCCCTTAGATTACAACAAATCATTCAGTGATGGAAGAGCTGATGTCCATTACTGGTATAAATATGAAGATACTACCTTTTGTTGCCCAAGCAGGAGTCGTGACTGATCTTTTCATATTCTTCTGCATTATTTCTTTTTCTGCGTTCATTTACTATGTATCAGTCAATGTTACACAAGAAAGACAATACATTAAGTCACTGATGATGATGATGGGCCTTCGAGAGTCAGCATTCTGGTAAGTTACGTGGCCACAATCTATCACGCAACATCAATAAGTACAGCAAGCTGGTTAGACTCCCTAAGCCTATAAAGTGTCATGTTTAAACTTGATTCTTTCCTAAAGTAGGGCATTGTAAATGATTGTAATAGACTCAAGTAAGCTTGGTAAATAAGAGTTTTCATACTTCTTTGAATTAAAGGAAGCCTGGTCCCATAGATGTCTGCTGATACTCACTCAGGTCACTAAGCAATAGAAAGAATGATTCTGGGGCACCTGGGTGGCTCAGTAGTTGAGTGTCTGCCTTGGGCTCAGGTTGTGATTCCCAGGGTCCTGGGATTGAGTCCCACATTGGGTTCCCTGCAAGGAGCCTACTTCTCCCTCTGCCTGCCTCTCTATCTCTCTCTCTCTCACTCTCTCTCTCTGTCTCTCATGAATAAATAAAATCTTAAAAAAGAAAGAAGGGAATGTATTTAAAGCGTTTTGTGTTGAGTTTAACAAGAATTAAGCACTCAATATTAGATGACAGTTAATAAAAATTTGAGAAGGGTCACAGGCTGAGAGATCAGTAGATGTAAGTTAAGAAACTGAGTGAATCCCCAACCAGAAACAAAAAAAAAGAATTTAATGGGTTTAGCCAAGGGATGTATTTGAGATATAGAATAGTAAAATCATGAGTTCTGGACTGGAAAAGTCATGGGTTGAACTGGATTTTTTTACACACTGATGTTATTGTCAATGGTGAACAAGATTTGTGGAACATACAGAATAGTTCTGGACGGATGCCATGTAGTCGCTAAAAGGAGGTTAGGCACTGTTCAGTTGAGTCAGAAGACCCCACATTTTACACCAAATTTATTTATTTTATTTTCTCCAGAGATGTTCAATTAACTGAGTGCAGAAGTGGAGAAAAAGGATGGCTAGTTTGATCTAGAATGGGAGTTTTTTCTGGTGTCTCTTTTGTATTAAAATTCTGTAGCTCAACACCGAAGAAAATCTTGCTATGTTTTTTAAAAAATAGAAATCTACAGAGTCAGAGAAAAGTAAATAATATGATAAAAAAAAAAAAGAAGAATAGAGAAACCAAATCCATTCAATGAAGAAAGGTTAAAAAAAATCAGGCTTTTTCCTCCCCTAAGAAAAGGCTATGACATTCTATTGATACCGCATGTGAATGAAATTAAGAAGTTCATGGAGAGACGAACAATTTCAGATGAACAGACGTGACTGAGCAAAAGGCATCATTACAATTAGGCAAGACTTCCCAAAACAGGATGGCATTTAATACTTTGAAGAAAAGAAAGCTAAGTGTTCATGATAACCAGTTGCCACATCACACGCATAACATGCATTTTGTTTAATTCTCTTATTATTTTTTCAGGAGACAATAAGGAAATTTAAAGAGATTGAGTTAACTGCCTCTCAGGACCATACAGTTAACAGTGTAGCAGAGAAAACCTGAACCTACATCAGTATGATTAGAAAGCGTCTTCTCTTTCCCCTATCGAGAACTTTCTTCCTGTTTCTTTAGCATTGAGAGCAAGAGAAACATATCTTCCGTATCCATCTATCTTTCTGTATCTCTGCATCCCTATGCCTAAGTGTATATCTGATCCATACCTAATATAAATCTAATCGTCACATCAGGGGTTGGCAAACTATGGCCCTTCTTTGAACAATCTGCAAGCTAGGAATGGCTTTTATGAAAATGCCTTAAAAACTCAAAAGAATATGTATGACACACCAAAGTTTATATGAAATTCAAACATCAGTGTCTTGTTATTGGAACACAGCCCGGTCATTTGCAGATTGTCCACGACTGCTTCCGTGCAAAGGCAGACTTCAGTAGTTGCAAGAGACCGTATGGTCCAAAAAGCCTAAAAGATTTACTGATTTGCTGATCCCTGCTCCGTCACCTGTTTTTTATCCATGGTCTTTCTACTTTACTGAAAGAAGCATCCCAGAACGGATGTGTAGGTCAGAGATGTCTTCCCAGAAAACTGCTCCCAATTACCCTCATTACATTACTCAGGCTATTTCTTTCTTATTTTGCAATCAGCTACGTATTTTACCTATTTGCTTGTTTATTGTCTACCTTCCCTGGTAGCATATGAACTTTGGGGACAGAGAAGTTTTCTAATGTCTTCGCTGTTATATTCCCCTTTACTCTCAATGAACTGATGCTTAGTTTCTGTGCTAGGCTCTCCTGGGGTTTGATGTATGCTGGCTTCATCTTTATCGTGGCTACTTTGATGGCTCTTATTGTAAAATCTGCCCAAATTGTCGTCCTAACTGGCTTCGTGGTGGTCTTCACCCTCTTTCTCCTTTATGGCCTGTCTCTGGTGAGTTGGTGAATTTAGTATCTCTCCCTCTCTCTCTTTTTTTTTCTCTCTCTCAGAGAAACCTACCAGTCATTTCTCACTGATTCTGATCACACCTTTTCTGTTTCTCTTTGCAGCATATGAATATTTGCATGAGACAGTATCTGGGGCTGGGATGGGGAGGAACAGATGTTATATATTTTTGTATTATGAAACTCTTTTTGTTATGCTACTGATGATTCTCAGAGAATGATATGCTACCTGAAGTTTTTCTCTCCTTTCAGATAACCTTAGCTTTCCTGATGAGCGTGTTGATAAAGAAACCTTTCCTTACTGGGTTGGTTGTCTTTCTCCTTACTGTCTTCTGGGGGAGTCTGGGATTCACTGCATTGTACAGACAACTTCCTGCATTTTTGGAATGGACTTTATGTTTTCTGAGCCCTTTTGCTTTCACTGTGGGCATGGCCCAGGTAAGAGTTAATATTTAACTATTTGATTTTTTACAAAACAGTCAAAGAATTCCCTCTGAGGAAATCATGCTATATGTTCTAAGCCCCAGAATTCCCATCCACTTTTGTGAAGATACACATTAAGTTATCGGAGAAGTTTTTTATTTTTCTCTCTCAGTGTAACTGGCTCTAAGTCACTAAATATAGGCTGATACTCCATTATCGATGTGGTTCAGCTTTGGCTTTTCGTGGGTTGTCCCCGTGAACATTTAACTAATTCAGTGCTCAGGTAACGGGACCCTTAATTTTATCGCAAGTATTTGAAGACCAGGAATTCAATAGAAATAAATTTTTATTTTTAATTGCCCACTTGTATATGGAACTGAACCTCTTCTCAGAAAATTTAATTCCAGGTATGACATCATAACCATAAAACGCTACAGGAAAGGTTATGTTACATGTAAACTCATCGTATCTCACTATATAATAAATTATTCTTGTGTCTTCTGTCCAAATACTGAAGTATTTCACTCCACCCACCCACCCACCCCTTTCAACTGGAGCCCCCTGTCTAGAATGTTCCCTTTGCCCCCATCCTACACCTGATTAAATCCTGTAGACAGCCTCTCCTTTGAGTTTTTATTTCCCAGAGGACTTGCCTACTTCTCTGCCCGTGGGACTCTAAGCCCTTAGTACCTACCCCCGCTAACTTCTCAAATTGCTCTGTAGCTAGATGAATTCAGTGCTATGTCTTCCAACAGATTAGAGCTCTGTAAAGACAGGACCTGTGTTTTATTTATCTTTTCAATCCCAGTGTTCAACGGAAATCAGACATTAATAATTTTTCATACTTTATTTATCCTTTTAAAATTCAGTGTATGTATCTTTTTTTTTCCAGCTTATACATTTGGACTATGATGTGAACTCTAACATCCATTTGGATTCTTCAGACAACCCCTACCTAATAATAGCTACTCTTTTCATGTTGGTTTTTGATGCTCTTTTGTATTTGGCTTTGACATTATATTTTGACAAAATTTTGCCCAGTAAGTAGTAACCTAATTGTGATTCAATGCCATTTCATTCAGTGCTTTTCTTTAAAATAAGTGTCTACAGGGGCGCCTGGGTGGCTCAGTTAGTTAGGCGTCTGCCTTCAGCTCAGCTCATGATCACAGGGTCTTGGGATCAAGCCCAGCCTTGGGATCCCTGCTCAGTAGGGAATCTCCTCCCTCTCCCTCTGCTCCTCCCCTCTGCTCATTCTCTCTCTCAAATAAAAAAAAATCTTTAAAAATTAAAATAAGTAAAATAACTACAATATATTGAATATAAATTATCAAGCATTTTTTTTCACAATTTCTAAGACAAGCTCATTGTGTATATGATGGGCTGCACTTTGTTTATAGAATCACTTTCTAAGATCTTGTTCTACCACAATACTTTAAATGGTTTCTTTTTCAAAAGAGATACTTGCAAGAGATTAAGGATGATTATACTATGAGTCCTTGCATTAGAGCTAGGTGAGGGAAGCTAGTGCTTGGTTCTGGATCTTAAGGGTGTCTAAATACTTCCCAAAGCAGTTACCTTGACAAGATGTCCTGTGGTCACCAACCCTTAAAGTGGTGACTGATGCAATGTTCTGTTGCCTTCTGTCCGTGTAGCTGAATATGGACATCGACGTTCTCCTTGGTTTTTCCTGAAATCTTCTTTCTGGTTTCAACACCAAAGGGCTGATCATGTGGCCCTTGAGAATGAAATAGATTCAGATTCTTCACCTACCGACTCTTTTGAACCAGTGTCTCCAGAATTCCACGGAAAAGAAGCCATAAGGTAATAAAAGAATTACATGAAGGTGCAAATGGAGGAAAAGGTCAGGGACCAGAGGTCTATCAGGCAAAACACAGATGTGACAAAGATTTCCTGGGTGCCTCTCTGTACCCACCTACATCCAGCCTATTCCACTCGTGAAAGGCCACAATCATTGTTAAAAGCACTTTGTTTTCTGATATTGTCAGCATTTCTATTTACAAATATCTTATGGCAGAACAACAAACATCAATGAAAAAATAATCGTCATATTTCCATTTCTCTCATTTTTTTCTCTTCTTTGTGCTGTTCTCTCTCTCTCTCTCCCTTCTCTCTCTGCTCTCTTTATGACAGACACTGTCATCATGTCCCTTGTTATTCTTCTCCCTTTCTCTGTGATTTACCCTCTCTCCTCTCTGCCTCCTGATGATAAAGAGGAGAAAGAAGAGACAGGTGATGCAGAAAAGGGAAGATAGGCATCCAAGAAGACGGGAAGAAAAACCTAAGTTAGGGTACTCATGTCATGCATATATCTCCCTTCTGAGGTGATGGATGTATCTTAATGCTGATTGTTTTGTTTCCAGACAACTAGAAATCCCAAACTTCCCTGGATGTTTGCTCAATATTTGTTCATCATTCGATTTGCCATTGTCTCCTCAAGAAAGTGTTTCCCATCACCTGGGCTTGCGTGAGGGAAAGACCCCCTGGATTTTCTCACCGCCTCAAAGACTTGATTTCCTAATCCTCTGTTTCCACAAGGTCCTTAAAACATTTTCCTCTTTTTTTTTTTTCAGAATAAGAAATCTTAAGAAAGAATATGGAAAAGGAAATAATGAAAAAGTAGAAGCCTTGAAAGGTAATAAAGTAAGATCACATTTAACAAGGCTGTTGGATTTGGTGACTATGCCTCACTGTTGTACTGTCTTCACGGGGATAAAGAACAGATATTCCAGACACCACAACTCTCCTTCTGAATAAATGTAAAACCACATAACAATTTTAGAAGGTCAGGGTATGCCTTGAATAAATGTAAAACCACATAACAATTTTAGAAGGTCAGGGTATGCCTTGAATATCTGATAGATTTGAAAGATGTGTGACTGCATCATGATATTCTTATTTTCAACTCATCACACTCTAATCCTAATAAACAATCTTTATTATAGTTGACCTACTTCTTTTTTTTTTAAATAGATGGGTCTTGCTTTTTTTTAAAATTTATTTATTTATGATAGTCACAGAGAGAGAGAGAGAGAGAGAGAGAGAGGCAGAGACACAGGCAGAGGGAGAAGCAGGCTCCATGCACCATGAGCCCGACGTGGGATTCGATCCCGGGTCTCCAGGATCGCGCCCTGGGCCAAAGGCAGGCGCTAAACCACTGCGCCACCCAGGGATCCCAGCTGACCTACTTCTAATGACAGAACTGCCCTTATCAAAAAAATGGTTAATTATATAATAAGATGTCATGACAATGCTACAGCTATAAAACGTGTATCATAGGAGATACAATTTTAAAGGGAAGAAGTTGGAAATGGATTTTATTTTGAATCTTGCTAGCCAAATATACACATGCTATAAGAAATTATAAAAATTTTGGAGAATGTGGGGCACCTGGTTGGTTCAGTCAGTTAAACATCCAGCTGTTGGTTTTGGCTCAGGTCACGATCTCATGGTCGTGAGATAGAGTCCCATGTCGGGCTCTGTGCTCTGCACTGAGTTTGCTTGAGATTCTCCTGTCTCCCTCTGTCCCTCCCCCTGCTTGTGCTCTCACTCTCAAAAAAAAAAAAAAAAAAAAACAAATTCTTAATTTTTTTAAGAGAATGTATAAAGTTAATATGTAGGCTCTGAGTGGGGTATTTTTTATAATAATTCCAGGTCTAGTATTTGACATATATGAAGGCCAAATCACTGCTCTCCTTGGTCACAGCGGAGCTGGGAAAACAACCCTGTTGAACATGCTCAGTGGACTATCCACCCCAACCTCAGGTGAGAAGATAATTATGGGCAAGAACATGGGCAAATTAATTAGCTATGCATTTCATTAATTTGTTTTGTTGGTTATTTCCATAATTAGTAGTTTCACTAACTACTAGTCTCATTCAGGTGCGTTAGAGAAAAGTTTTACAAGTGTCTTCAAGCTATTCTTTTAGTAGATGTATGTTCTATTTGCTTAGGAAAATCTTTGTGGTTTAAGTATTTTAAGATAAGTAGCTCTATGAATGAGCACTCCAACTGGTTCAGAGGAATTGGGAACATTACATTTCTAGTCAATAGTGCATTCCTTATAGGTACAGTATGCTTAAAAGATTTGGGTGACTGACACACATTGTTTTTTGCTTTAAAATACCTTAAATTGGGCGGGGGGGGGGGCGGGGATCCCTGGGTGGCTCAGCGGTTTGGTGCCTGCCTTCGGTCCAGGGTGTGATCCTGGAGTCCCAGGATCGAGTCCCGCATCGGGCTCCCTGCATGGAGCCTGCTTCTCCTCTGTGTCTCTGCCTCTTTCTATCTGTGTTTCTCATGAATAAATAAATAGAATCTTTAAAAAATAAATAAAATAAAATACCTTAAATGAAGCGTGACTCACTGTCAACCTTTCTACCTCTAGGTTCAGTCACCATCTATAATCACACCCTTTCAGAAATGACGGACTTGGAAACAGTCAGAAAGCTCACTGGAGTCTGCCCACAATCCAATGTGCAATTTGACTTCCTCACTGTGAAAGAAAATCTCAGGCTCTTTGCTAAAATAAAAGGGATTCAGTCGCATGAAGTAGAACAAGAGGTAGAAGAACATGTTAGATGTGTGACGTGTAGATGTCTCACAGCCATGAACGTGTAATTGTTTATCTAGAAAATTCTAAATGTATTTGTGTTACTTCTACATGGTTCATCATCTAAAGGGTAAAAAGACCTTTTGCAAAGCACAGCACAATGATTGTGTTTTTAAAACACAGGTGCTGGGTTGGGGATTTCACCTCCTTTCCTTTTTTTTCTTTTTTTTTTTTCTTTTTTGGTTAGATACAACAAGTTTTAAGGGACTTGGAGATGGAAAATATTCAAGACATCCTTGCTCAAAATTTAAGCGGTGGACAAAAAAGGAAACTAACTTTTGGGATTGCCATTTTAGGAGACCCTCAGGTAAGTCAAGCCAAAATTACTGGTGAATGAGATTGAGGACTATGGATCTATCGTATTCCATCAGACTGAATTTGCAAATGGCAAATGCAAAAGAACTGTTCCAATGAAAAATTAAGTAGTAAGATATTTCTTCCAAAGACTTTTACACATATATTGCTTTTAAAAAAAAAAGTTTTTTTGTTTTTTGTTTCTTTTTTTTTACCTCCAAGAGGGAAATGATTTCATATTTCCTAATGTGCAGGTTTTGCTCTTGGACGAACCAACCGCTGGCTCAGATCCTCTTTCAAGGCACCGTGTATGGAACTTCCTAAAAGAGAGGAAATCTGATAGAGTCATTCTCTTCAGTACCCAGTTCATGGATGAAGCTGACATCCTGGCTGGTGATTTATTTTTTTTAGAGTCTACATATAAGTGAGATCATATGGTATTTGTCTTTCTCTTTCTCAGACTTATTTCACTTAGCATAATCCCTCAAGTTCCATCCATGTTGTTTTTCTCTGATGTATCTTTGTGAGAAATTAGGGACATGTGTGAAATATGTGTAGATAAGTTCCAACACAGCTGCCGTGTGTGTGACTGTCATGAACCAAGAGACTCTTGCTGTCACCCATTTGAATGTCCACTTCTCCATGTACATTGTCCCACAGATATATTCTGATCCTATTGCAAAGCAACTGATTGGTTGTAAAAATGTAGCATACTCTCAAACACATAGTATGTTTTATTCAGTAGCAATGTCAGTTAACTTGAAACAGATCCTTTCATTGTATGATAATTTTTCTTAATTTACTAGGAATAAACTAGCATATCATTTCAGTTATTGGATGACAAAGAAATTGGCTTACATATGACCAGAATTAGAATGCAAATATTTTAGTGAGTCATCTCCTAAAACACATTACTTATTAATGGAGATATTCTTTTATATTTTATATTTTATAAATATATTTTATATATTTTATATATAATAAATATATAATATATTATATATATAAAAGATATATATATATATCTTTTATATTTTATAAACAGTGAAAGAATAACCCCTTAATACAATGTGTTGTTTTCCTTTTCTGCTTAGATAGGAAGGTGTTTATATCCAATGGGAGGCTGAAGTGTGCAGGCTCCTCTCTATTCCTGAAGAAGAAATGGGGCATTGGCTATCATTTAAGGTAACACCTGTATAGTTGGAGACTTGTTGGAACATGTAACATGTTGTGGACAGGAAATTTCAGTAGTAGTATGTTAAAGGAGGCTACAAAATTATTAAGATCATTTCAAGAATGCTGTGTTAGAATGACACCACAAGCTCTCTTTCTTAAACTAGAACAAAGGGCAGGTGGGATTGTAGACTTGGAGAATACAAGGATGATTAAGCTGAGTTTAAACAAAATTTTTGGAAAATATTTTCACAACACATTGTTGCAAAGAGAAATTTAGTGACATTCCAACCCTCTCTCATCATTTTTCCAATACTTCTTTTCGTAAATTGGGACAATTTCAATAGCCTCCTGTCCATTCTCCATGACTTCATCTTCTCCTTCATTCTTTTCTATCTCCTTCTCTTTCTGATAATAATTAACATCATTATTAATCATTATTATATTACTAAGTAATGTCTATTACTTATTCCATGTTGGCTATGCTCTAAGTTCTTGCTAAGAGATTTACATATGGAATACTCATATAATTATAGTTAATCTTTCAGATAACTGTAAGAAGATGGTATTATTAGTCTCTGGCATGTCAGGGAGTTTTAATAATATGCCCAATCTCACATCATTTAAAGTGTTAGATCTTTAGGCCAAGCTTACAAGTGTGATGAATCTTTCCCTATACTTCCTGCTAAAATATTATTATTTCTTAAAAAAGAATTTAAGTCACTTTATCCTCAGAGGTTAAATGTATTCCCTCCATTATTTACTGAGGGTTTAATCTGATCAAATCTACCATTCCATCATAATTGCTTGGTACAATCCAATTGAATCAATACTTTCCAACTAAAATAAACCACTCATTAAAAAAATAAATAAATAAAAATAAAATAAACCACTCATTGTTTTCTAAGTATGTTCTGTGATTTAGCTGTCTTCTTTCTGCTCAGGGTAGGACATCTGTTTGACATTCCTCCTCCACCCCATTTTAACCAAGTTCAAATCTTATCTATCCTTGAAAGTCTTTTCCGAATATTTTCTCCTTAATAAGCATCCTCTTTTCTGGAATCTGAAAAGCACTATTTTGAATTGTTACCTTAGGTAACTCAATTAAGTCTCTGGTCCTCAGTAATTTCATGTATGTAACAGCAGTAATAATACCTACACTGCAGTCAAGGCTAAAAATATTGAATGAATGAATATTTGACAAGGTACCAAGTGCCTAACTGACTTAACTTCCTTCTCCCTCACTTCTTTTATAATATGCTGCTTTATATGACTGCTATGTTCCATGCTCCTGTAGGGAAGGCTCTATATTCTTTCTGTTTGGGATCCTGGATAGTGTATTGTATAGGGTCTTGTAAACACAGAAGAGTTTTAATCTAAATTGATTTTTTAGGTTTGTGTCATCAAAGTGATGTCCTCATCATTTTATTGCATCAGTAAATTTCAATGGATGTGACTAAAATGGTGCTTCTAAAAATCTAACGATTTCATGAAGAACTTTATATGTTCTTACCAAGACGGATCAGCTTTGATTTGAATAAATTTTGGACAAAAAAAGTGATAAAATTAGCTAACACATACTGAAGGTTTACTTGGTGTAAGGCTCAGTGTGATCACAAACATATTTTATTTTATTCTGTCTTTCAAAATTCTTTGAGAGATGAGTATTGGGACATTGATTGGAACTTTGATGGAAAATTGATGCTGGAAGAGGTTACACCCAAGTTCTGGAACGTGGATCAGTAGGGCATTAGGACCATGTTCTTAATGTCTGTATCAAGCTAACCTCTGTGTCGGTTTTCACTGTGTTCAAATCTTAGTTTTTGCAAAATCCATACTTTACTACAAAGGGAAAATTCAAAGCTGAGCTTTTGGATAGATGGAGACAAAATTAGGCATTTCCTTCACCTCACTCTGGCCACCATCTCGCTGAATATCTTTCCTCCAAATAATAATCCTTGAGTTATTATCCCTTACACTAGAGCCTATAGATTGATTATACAGTTTGAACTGTATTAATTTGGACTATTATTGGACTATTTATTTTTAAGTCTTGTTTCTTCCATTATATATATATATATATATATATATATATATATATATATATATATAAAATGTATAGAGATGATGTTGGGTAAAAATGGCTTTAACACGTTCTTTTTAAATGTCAGTTTGCATCTGAAAGAAATGTGCGATCCAGATAGTATAACATCACTTGTAAAACAACACATCCCTGATGCCAAATTAACAGCACAAAGTGAAGAAAAGCTTGTATATACTTTGCCTTTGGAAAGGACAAACAAATTTCCAGGTAAGAGAACGTGGAGACCACAGAATGGTTTATAACAATGTTACTAACTGTAACAGTAGCCTTAAGAATGATGGCTGACACCTTTATACTTGCTAAGTGCATGGCACTTTGCATTAATTCTCCAATATTCCCCAGGGTTACTGCTAATATTAGCTCCTGATATTATCCCCAGATCATTTATGAATAAACTGGGGCAAAAGATGCTAAATATGCTTCATGTGGTGACATATGCAATTAAGAGCTTCAGGACCACATCAGGCTAAAATTAGAAATATTTGGGACATTTGTTTCAGGAACAAATGAGGGAGAGTGGTCCAGGCAAGGAGAGGTCTGTGAAAACAGCATAGAGTGTTAAATGGGACCTAAGGGAAAGGTATGACTCCACAGTACATAGCTTTGTTAAAACACCGTGACATAATGTTATAACCTAAGTAATTTTGATCAACCTATATATTTCCAAACATTCTAAATTCACAACCTTTCCACAAATACAGAAGCCTGGAGGCTCATTGCCATTCCCACTTTTCTATGTGGTCTCCCAACATGCTTTCATTTGCCAAGAGTTTTGAGGTAGGTTGCATTCAAGGGGAAAAAAAAAGTGTAACCATAAAATGTGTTTACTTTGAGTCAAAGAAATTTGACAGCTTTTAATGGAAAATATTGGCTCCCATAGCTGCCTACATGAATCAATAAACGCCATGATCATGGTTCATAAGAAACATAGCACCAGACAGTAGGGTGTGGTGGTCAAAACCTGGGATACTAGAGCCAGACTGGGTGGGTTCAGATCCCAGCAAGGCTGTTAATAGCTCTGTTATCCTGGACAGGTTGTATTACTTTTCTGTACCTCAGTTTCCCTGTTTGTAACAAGGGGATAATGACAGTACTAACTATATAGGATTTTCATGAGGATTAAATGATTTAATGTATTTAAATATATTATTAAAATATTAAAAATAGGGGCCCCTGGGTGGCTCAATGGTTGAGCATCTGCCTTTGGCTCGGGTCATGATTCTGGGGTCCTGGAATCGAGTCCCACATCGGGCTCTCCACTGGGAGCCTGCTTCTCACTCTGCCTATGTCTCTGCCTCTCCCTCTGTGTCTCTCATGAATAAATAAATATTTTTTAAAATTAAAAATAAGAAAATATTAAAAATAAATACAGCACCTGGAATCAGACCTGACCTAGAAGCTATGGTATTTCTCCAAGTCTAAAATAGCCTCAGCTATATAGGATGTGCTACCAAGAAAAAAGAAAGAAAGAAAGAATGGCACCATTTAAAATGACATACCAGCATTTGTGATACATGCACATTTCAGATATGGTAAAAGATGATGAAATGTATTTATCTTAGAATCAGTGAGATAACTGCAGTCTTAGATGCATACACCATGTCTTTGACATACATATTCGTGTGGAAACAGAAATCTTTTTTTTTTTCATATACAGGCTGGTGATACTTTATTATACAGAGAAGTTGGCAAAGGACAGCTTTATTTTTGTCAAAGAATCTCCACCAAAAATCTCTAGTGATTCATCTGGTGGTGCAGTTAACATAATAAAACAATAGCTGATATTTACTGAGTCCTTGCAATATTCCAGAGCTATTAAATGAGATGAAAATCCCAGCATAAAAACTAAAATTTTCATTAGAACCCAGACTTAGAAAAGGCCCAGCTTCAAAGATTCTGATTTTCACAGGCTGAGGACTCCCATTTCCAGAAGTTCAAAAACCTCCTTTCTTATCTCGGGAATGTCCACCATCCTCCTCAACTTCTGATCTCTCCACTTCCAGTCAAAAACCAGGAACTTTAAGGGGTTCAAATTAAGGCCACCTTGTTTAATGAGTTCTTTAGTCCTCCCTGGTGTTCCTACACCCAGGTGTACAACACGCTTCTCCAGCAGCTTTACCTGCTCCTGGACCTTTATGTGTTTTGCAAATAATTTCATAACTTTGCTGTCTCCTCTGAATGCTGTCATCGACCTAATGAGCTCCAAGGCCCGGACAGCAGAGCTGCAAAATGAACAGCATCAGAACCGATTTCTTCTCATTATGGTTTTTCCAAAGTTTTACCCACTTAGGGCAGATTTCTCTTAGGTATGATGAAAGACTATGAGTCAAATCATTGGCCTTGAGGAAACAGGAGTCTGGTAGGTTTAGTTCTTCCAATTCAATCACTGAGCGGCTGCTGCTGAAATAGTCCTTCATCAAGTTCTGCAGGTCTTCAGGGGTCCCCGGTTTTGGCTCTGATTTTGCAAGAACATCAGTAATTTTCTTCTTTCTTCTCCTCCTTGTCTTGGTGGCATCTTCTTTTGTGGAAACAGAAATTTTGATGAGGCCACAAAGCAAACTGTTACCTGATTATTTGTTAAATGCATTTCAAAGGAGAATGCACAATTTAAAGAAAGACTGAAAAAGAACCAACACTTAGAACTCATTAAAAATCATGACTACATCTGTATTTTTATTTACCTAACACACTGTTAAGAAAGAAACTTTTAATTTCTACCAATATTTGAATTGGTTTATCCTTTATTCTACTTCCAATTTTCCTGAAATGCCCCCAAATATTGCCAGTATCTTTAAAATCAACAATAACAACCTTCAAAATGGCCTACTCATTCCTATAAAGACCAACCTTTTGAAAAAAAATTTTAATTTATTTATTCATGAGAGACACAGAGAGGCAGAGACATAGGCAGTGGGAGAAGCAGGCTCCGGGCTTGGAGCCTGATCCAGGACCCAGGAATTATGATCTGAGCCAAAGGCAGATGCTCAACCACTAAGCCACCCAGGGGCCCTAAGACCTACCTTCTTTGAAGGCTCTTGTGTAATCTTCATACCATGGTCAGAAGTGGGAGAAGAGAGTAAATACAAAGTTGCATATATACTTTGTCCTTTCCTTTAATTTATATATTTCTCTAAACTAGGGAAGCCTGTGCAGCACCAAATTACTTCTATAAATATTTGTGCTTTTGCTTTTGTTACTCTGCTGCCTACTAGTTATTCTTGAGAGTATTCTTCTCTCAGTTTTTGGAATAATATTCCTGAATTAATGAGGCTTTAGAATGTAACATTTCCTACCTTAGTCAGTTGGGGTTACTAACACCTACTACAGACTGGGTGGGTTTACAAACAGCAGACATTTATTTTTGATGGTCCTGTAGGCTGGGAAGTCCAGGATCTGGGCTCCAGCACAGTTGGGTTCCGGTAAGATACCTCTTTGGGATTGCAGAGTGCAGACTTCTTGTTTCCCATATGGCAGGGAGAGGAAGCCAGCTTTGTTGTGACTCTTTCAAAGGCTTTAATCCTATTTATGAAAGTTCCAGGCTCAGGACATCATCTAATCCTAACCACCTCCCAAAGCCCCCCTTCCTAATACCATCACACTGGAGGGTAGGGTTTCAACATATGGATTTGTGGGAGACCACAAGTATTCAGTTCATTTATCACTCTCCCCATAATCAAATGCAATTAGTTTTTTAAAAACGGAATAAATAAAACATCATATTTCTCAAAGAACCCTGCATAATCATTCTAAGAATGAAATGTAGATGATTACAATTTTATACTCAAGACATGGAAACACACGGTATAGGTTATTTTAGAAATGAGGGAATGTCTATATCATAGCTTTGTCTCTTATGAATGGCTCATCACACATGTTCTCTATTGTTCAAAAATATAGTTATTATCAATATCATTACAAATTATATTCTTCTCATGCATTTCTGTGACTACTTTTAGATCTTTACAGGGATCTTGATAGATGCTCTAACCAGGGCATTGAAAATTATGGTGTGTCCATGACAACCTTGAATGAAGTGTTCTTGAAATTAGAAGGAAAATCAGCTATTGATGAATCAGGTAAGAAAAAGAAGAAGAAGAAGAAGAAGAAGAAGAAGAAGAAGAAGAAGAAGAAGAAGAAGAAGAAGAAGAAGAAACTTCCATTTTATCTTTCTGTGGAATAGTCTATCTTGAAAATATATTTTGAATGATGAGGTTCTATGCTTTTGGAGGTGCTCTGATTCAGTCCAGTCTTGGGAAAACTTAGAGCGGAGAAGAGATGTATTTCTGTCTCTTTCTTCCCTTTTCGTACAATGCTGGCACCCTCTCTTAAATTCCTTATTTTCTACTATGCATTTTACTAAGAGTGTGGAATATAGCAGTGTAAAAGACTAGGTCCTCATGGAGTAGACAATAAATATGTGATACAAGTGCTACAGAGAGAAGAAAATTCGAGTTGTATGTTGACAGTTAACTCTTGTTGTAACATTTTGAGGATATTGTTCCAATGTCTTCAGGGTTCCATCATTACTGGAAGATTTGTTGTCAGCACAAGTATCAGTCCTTAGAAAGTCCTCTCTCCTTGATCTAAGTTGATTCCTTGCTTCTGGTTTACTATCATTCTACTTAGTTAACTCTTTACTACAGCTCCCCCCCCCCATTTTCTAATTTTTTTTATTGATTAAGTAGGTTTTTAAAAATTCCTTATTTCCCCTTTTATTCACTTTTGAAGTTTTACACTTGTGGTTATACTTAACTTTTAATATACATATTTTATAGCTTTCTAGAAGTCTAAAGTTGATCAGTTTTTCTAGGATTGTCTTCCAAACAATCTTATTTTTAATCATGGCTACATTAAAAAATATTGCCTCTACCAATTTCACATCCTTGGAAGGGAATGAGGAGGGTTGTATATGTACCAGCATTTCCACCTTTGTCAGAAATACTGATCATTTATCTTTTGCAATGAACCGGCCAAGTATGATTTCCCTAGAATGAATGAAAGCTAATGTCCTTAAAGCTATAGACACAAAGCTTATTTAAAAGAAAATACAAGATTTCTTTTATTATGTCATTTGTTTTCTTCCTGTATTATACTTTTTTTTTTTTGCCTTGTTTCCTTTTATTTTGTGGTCACTCTAGTAATGCCACAAATTAGGTTTTTAGGATCTTTGCCCAAGATTCTTGACTCTGACACTATTTGGTGAAAATATGGTCATAGAAAAATCTAAGTAATATGTGTCTAAAACAACATTATAAAGTATTGATTTTATGTTTTATAGACACTGGAATTTGGAGAGAGTTACAAAGTAATAGGACAAAAGACACAGGAAGCCTTGTTGAGCTGGAACAAGTTTTGTCTTCATTTAAGGAAACAAAGAAATCAATCAGTGGCATGGCTCTCTGGAGGCAGCAACTCTGTGCCATAGCAAAAGTTCGCTTCTTAAAGTTAAAGAATGAAAAAAAAACTCTGTTGACCATGTGAGTATCCGAGTGTTTCAGACACATTTGGTCAGTGTTCTCAAAATAAATTCAAGGGGAAAGAAACCCCAAAACCTCTTGAGATAAATTCCAGTAATTGCATATGGTCTTTATTAATATAGAAAACAATTTCCAATTGCTTTGGTGAGTATGTAATTGCACCCAGTAAAAAAGTTTGGGCTCTTTCTTTTTATTTCACACCGCATCTGTTCTTATCAAAGGGTTGAGATCATTTTTCTGAAGTATAGAAGTTAGCATTTGGATCCCATCCCCAAAACATCCTATCCTCTTTGTCCAAGTTACTTTGTGCCAGGCTGTGTCTAAGCCAAGGCTTCATGTCACTGCCTGGAACTTGCTTCATGGTTCACGCATTTCCCGCTAGTTTTGGGCTCTTCATTGAGTCACACCTCCTTGCGAAAACCCTGCTCTCCAGCCAGGACTCATTCATTAAAACATATTTGTTAGCACCACTGCACAGCACTCCATGTTAAATGTCTGTAACATGTATCGAAATAAATCAGACATGAGATTTGGCTCTTGAGGGTGAGTAGAAGTACACTAAAAACCATGGCATAAGATTAGACAATATTGTCGACCAGAACATTCAGTATGAGAAAGATTATGTACCAATATGGGCATCAGAAAAACGATTTTGTATGAGGGAGAAATGGAGTCTGGTATAGAAAAATGTAACAGGAAAGAAAGGAGGATGGAAATTCAGGCAGAGGGGCAATACTGAGTTTGGAGATATATGAAAAGTCAGAAGAGCTGTTATCCATTTCAGTGAATTATAACAAAGTACATGGAAAAGTAGAAATACTTTTGATAATATATTATGTACAGCTGAAGAGTTTAGGCTTTATGAATAATAAGGAATATTGAATTTTTATTTGAAAAGGTGATCAACATAATTAGAATAGATTCTAGAGAGGCACCTGGGCGGCTCAGTCAGTTGGGCATCTGACTCTATATTTCAGCTCAGGTCATGATCTCAGGGTCATGAGATCGAGCCCCATGCCAGACCCCCATGCTCAGCAGGGAGTCTGCTTGGAGATTTCTCTCTCTCTGCACCTCTTTCCACCTGCAGTCGCTCTCACTCTCTCTCTTTCAAATAAAAAAATAAACAGATTGCCAAATTGTACATAATTGGGCAACAGTGCAAAGAAGGTTTAGAAGCAGTAGACTCTGGAGGTAAGGAAAATGGTCATTGAGGACAATATTGAAAAAGGTCAGGAAAGAGATAATTAAGGTCCTGACTTGAAAAGTAAAAGAGGAAAGGGTTTTAGGCACGTAACGATGATACGATAGAAATTTTCAACCATTTGGAAGAGGGACTTAAAACAGCCAGATGAGTGGAAAGTGATTGGCCCTTGGAACTTGAGTGAATGAGAAAATGTGATTTATAGAAACTGGGAACTGTAGGGGTAAGAGTTTCAAAGTGTAGTACATCTGAGTGTTGGTGATATGCCAGAAAAAGGAAGACATGTGAGATGGAAACAGAGGAAAGAAGTGGGAATCAGAAAGAGATTGAACAGTCGTACCCAGCCAACATCATGAGCCTGAGTGACATTTCCAAAATGAGGAAGGGAGGATGGGGGAGAGGCATTTAGAGAGAAGGTCCCAGCATAGAGACATAGGAACTACTTCACGTTAGAAGAAACGGGGGAGAAAGCATGATTTCTATATTTGGTTAGTGTGTATGATTTCTTTCTTTTATGATACCCATTATCTACTCCAACTGAAAAATCTACAAAAGTTCCTATAGATGAGTTTCTTTCTTTTCCATTTTCCTCCATGTAGATTATTGCTTTTTGGCATTAGCCTCTGCCCTCAGCTTTTGGAACATCTGTTCTATGAGTTATATCAAAAAAGTTATTCTTGGGGACTGACTCCTACTATGTATTTCCTCTCGCCGGGACAGCCACCTCAAGCTCCTCTGACCCACTTACTGGTCATCAATAAAACAGGTAAAAGTACAGCTAAAATATAACTTTCCAGTATTGCTCTTATAGAGAGATTCCCCAGACAATATAAACCATGAGGGGAAAAATAAATCCTGTGTGTTGTAGAAAACACACAGGAGGCCAAGTAGGAAATTAATTTTAAAATGAAAAGTTCAAGATTGGAAGTTTATTTTAGAAACGCATGTTGCAACCTTACTTAAATCCTGAAGTTTATGGGACCAAGCAACAAAAGGGGATTTAGTAAGACAAATCTATATCTCTGAGGTCTTCCCACAATATTTTTAAAGTATTATGCAGTCTTGGACTCTGGAAAAAAATCTGGCCCAAATTTCTAAGAAAATAGATGATTACTATCTTTAAGGATTATAATGTTAATTTTAAGTAGTATTTCTACACTAACAGAAATTATATGTAAGTGGCTAGGCTCTCGGTAAAGTAATCTTGTCCTATCTTTGATATCAGAGTGGGTTTTGGTATCATAGCCTCAATTCTGCCTTTCTAAAGCAATCCGTAGACAGTTCTTATTGTGATATGCTTTGGGTGACACTATTTTATTTTAGTTTAGCTTTTTAAAAATATATTAATTGACCATTGTTTTACTTTGCTCTTCTTTTGATTTTTACCTTCTCTGTAGGGTCAAGCATTGATAACTTTATACATTCACTGAGGCAACAGAACATAGCTTTGGAAGTGGATGCCTTTGGAATTAGAAATGGCCCAAATGAGCCTTCATACAATGGTGCCATCACTGTGTCAGGTGATGACAAGGTATGTTGGGCTCTGATAGTTGCATCTCACCAAAGATGAGTTGTGAACACCATTTGAATAATACCTAACAATTGACATAAAAGGCCAGTTTAACACAAACAGGTGGGATATCTCTCATTTTTAGAGGAGAAGCTATACTACGATTATTTGCCCACAGTCTCCAATACATTACAAAAACATATAATGAAATGCTGTTGGATTTCATTCCTTATTAAATTGCATGCACTATTATGAATCATTCATTTAAATCTTTTTCTCAATTGGAAATCACTTCAAATTACATTTTGACAAATCCTCTAATAATAAATCTGATAAATACCTACTGGGAACTGTAGCTCCATTACCAAAAAAAATAGTTCTTAATTTTTTTTACAGTGGATTTGCATAAATTTTTTATGAGAGAACAGCTCAAGTCTTTTTTCCTGCTAAACTTTACACAAATGAGTCAAATCTTCAGATAAATCTTTATGCTCCTCTATCTGATATTAAAAAACTTCTTAGTTTCCTACAACTTGTGGTTCATGAATCAATATCAGTGGATCATTGCTAGGAATGAAGACTCTCAGCCCCCACTCCAGTCCTACTGAGTATCTGCACTTAAATAAAATCTGCAGGAGATTAGTATGCTCCCTAAAGTTTGAGAAGGACTGCCTTATTTGGCAATATTTAAGATTGATGTATTTCTTATAAAAAATTTATATTTCTGCTTCTGTTGAAAAATCCCTCCATATGCCAATTTTGGGAGTCCGCAGTTGGAATTGAGAAATAGTTGCCCAGTTTAGACTTGGACTTTACTTGCCAGGTTGCTCTATCTCCACACTGCTTCACCCATGTATATTACCTGTCTACACTGTGAGGGAGTTTGGGGAGAGATCCCCGGGGTAGACAAATGAAAAAAGATGACAAGACAGCATTCTATGTATAAATCAGAGCAGGTGAGTGTTACAAACCTTGACCATTTGCAACTTGTCAGAGTTAATTTTCAGAAATAATTTCTGTGCCAATAATAAAATCAGAAATCACTTTTGATCAAACTAATTCTTGGTATGTCTTTATCAGGTTAGTTTCCAGTATGCTCAGAAAAATAGGGTTTTTTATTTTTTATATTTTTTTATTCATGAGAGATACACAGTGAGACAGAGAAATAGGCAGAGGGAGAAGCAGGCTCCCTGCAGGGAGCCTGATGCAGAACTTGATCCCAGGACCCTGGAATCACGACTTGAGCTAAAGGCAGACGCTCAACCACTGAGCCACCCAGGTGCTACCAGAAAGATAGTTTTAAAAAATGGCATTCTTAATATCAATAAATATTGCCTCACATAGTTAGATACAACTCAGGTGATTTATTTTGGATTGTAAAAATGCATGCCCAAATAATAACTCACTTATATTCTCTTTATTTGGGCAAAAGGTAATCATGTTACATATGTGTATATGCATGTCATATGTTTTATATATATAAATATATTATATATATTTTTATATATGTTTATGTATATAAAGAGATGGTTTTATATATATATATATATATATATATAGAGAGAGAGAGAGAGAGAGAGATGTATGTAACATTTTTTTACCATATGTTTTCCTCCAGTTTTGTTAAGATATGATTAATAGACAGCACTGTATAAGTTTAAAGTGTGCAGCATAATGACTTGACTTACATATACTATGAAATGATTTTTAAATGCCGTTTTCAGGACATTTTACACACAACACTTCTACTACAAGCTCAGTATTTGTGAAAACCTATGCTTTCATTACAATGCTGCCTGCCTTCTGCTTCCAAGTATCCACACATTCTTAATGTGTAAAATGCATATATCACATTTTGAAAGAAAGCCTACTGCCATGTTAAAGAGACGTTGCTTTGTGTTTTATGGCCTTGCTGCTAAAAATCATCCGAGGCATTTTGTTTTGTGAGTGTTTAGGCATAAATAGCCACATGGCTGATGTTCGGTCAGTAAAGACCAAAATACTGGATTCCTTGTGATATAGCGGGAATTAATCAAATAATATGAGTGACAGTGATGTTAATGACATCCAGTGCTTTAGCCTTCCTGTATTGTCAACAATTTGAATGATTTTCTACTGTATTCTTTCATTAAATTTTGTATTTGCTTTCTGAGGACTTAAAATGCCTATTTGTTGTATTTTAGGATCACAGATTCTCGATAGCCTGTAATACCAAAAGGCTAAATTGCTTTCCTGTCCTCATGGATATCATCAGCAATGGGTTACTTGGAATTTTTAATTCTTCAGAACACATTCAGACTGACAGAAGCACATATTTTGAAGTAAGTATAATTTTTTTAGAGTGGGTGAAGGGCCACGGGAGTGGGAGAGAGAGAATCCATGCCCAGCGCAGAGCCCAACGCAGGGCTTGAAATGGAGCTTGACCCCACAACCCTGAGATCATGACCTGAGCTGAAATCCAGAGTCAGATGCTTAACCCACTGAGCCAGCCAGATGCCCCTGAAGTAAGTATAATATTATTTCACTTATCCTGAGCCCTAACGAGTTTTCACGAAGACACTTGAAATGCTGAAATAACATCATGTTATTTTTGTGAACTCGTCCTTGAATAAATGTATGTTTTACATACATATAGTTTATATTTATTGGTAGATACATACACGCACTATCTAGCAATGATGATGAAACATTATAACCTGAATTGGATGACTTGGGGTCAGTGAAACAGCAGAAAATGCAATTAGTTGGGAAAAAGAACTGACAGCTTTTCATCTTAGATCTGTCACCATCTGTGGCAGTAAGTAATGGGACCTCCTTGAAACAGCCAGAGGCTTAAAGGCCAGACAGTGTGGTCTTCTTAACAACTGGACCTTTTGTAGACCTTGGTTCGGCAATCCACAGGAAAAAAAAGTACAGATAAAAAATTAAAAAGATTTTATGTATTTATTCATGAGAGATACACACACAGAGAGTCAGAGACACAGGCAAAGGGAGAAGCAGGCTCCCTGTGGGAAGCCTGATGCAGACTTGATCCTGGGACCCCTGGATCACGCCCTGAGCCAAAGGCAGACACTCAACCACTGAGCCACCTAGGGGCCCACAAAGTTTTCTTAAGAAGTAAATAAGACCTCCTATCTCTGGGAAACGAACTAGGGGTGGTGGAAGGGGAGGTGGGCGGGGGGTGGGGGTGACTGGGTGACGGGCACTAAGGTGGGCATTTGAAGGGATGAGCACTGGGTGTTATTCTATATGATGACAAATTGAACACCAATAAAAAATAAATTAATATAAAAAAAGAAGTAAATAAGACCATGTGAGCACCAGGTCCAGTTGACTGAGTTACTGTAAAGACGAGCAATAAGGCACATTAACATAGAAAATCACAGGCACTCAATAAGTTGCACTCATTATCACTATTGCTATTCGTATTATTTTTCTTGGGAGTGCATCGAGTTTCTATTAAAGAATGTTTAGCTTTGACTAGATGAGAGGATAGGCTGAATTAGAACTAGAAGCAGTTCTTATTTAAAATACAGTTGGCCAGGCCTGCTCAGATCCTGAGAATCTCCACAGTGGGGGGAGGGTGTGCAACTCTATCATCTTGCCATCTTGAATCTCCCTCCACCTTCTTGAAATGACAATGTAGGCATTCCCTTCAGCTCCCTGGTCACTCTTTGTTACTAAGAATTATTCCAGGGATGTCCAAAACTTCAATTTCCCATCCACTTCAAACTCCTACAGGGCTGACTTGTTGCCTAACAGAGGTGGAAATGGGCGAGTGGGCAGTAGAGGGATTTGCCCTCTCTTCCCCCTTTTCTAGTCTAACATCTGGGAGTAGAAAGGAGAGAGTGACTTTTCTCTGGACTCCCTGCCCTCCTTTTTTCTCCCTTCAGAGTAAAACTCTGCTGGGGCTGGAAGCAGAGAGAAGGTTGGAGAGATTAAGACAGGAAAAAATGGTGCTCTGGAGACACCTGCATTCTCTAGTTGTATCTGCCTCCCATAGCTTCTGTGTATGTGGTGGCCACAGCCTAGGTGACCTGTGAGATTATCTTGGGGGAAGTTTAGCTCTGACCCCAGGGCCTTGTGTAGTTGAAGATGCACTTAATGGTGCAGAGCAGAATTTCCCTTCACCTGCTACCGAGATGCCCTCACTGTCAAGCTCTCTCCACTTCCCCTTGTTCGTTGTTTGATGTGGCCATGGCGCAGGTCATTTAACAATTTCTGCCCCTGTGTTAACCTCTTTGCCTCTTCAGAAAGAGCTGTAAGAACTGTTGAGTGAGTGCTTCTCACATGCTGTTGGAAAGCTATAGAGATTTGGGGTGCAGCAGGGGCTGCTCCACAGTCTCCATAGTGCCTCACGGCACTGTCCTCTCCAACCACATCAGAGTAATCCTTCCTCTGGAAATCTCTTGAGCAGAAACAACTGCATCCCTGTTCACATGGGGTCCCAAGTTAAATTTAGGTCCTCAGAACACTGACCACATGATTTACATTCATTATTATGTTTAAATGTCCTAATAAGACTTTAAGATAGGCGGTATGATTATTATTATACATCTAAGAAAACTGCAGCAGGTAGAGGTGCTGCTATGTTTCCCTAGCTATTGTATTTGAAGAGGCTACTGAATGATCCTGGATAGCCAAGAACAGTGCTCCCAGCCAGGTGCCTGCAGGCATTTGAACTTGCTCCTTATGCATCTCATTGAGCCAGAGGAATGATTCTTTGTAAATGTTGAACTGAACTGATTTGGCACCAATTTCTAAGAGTAGCAAAATAGCTCTTCCATTGACAGTCCACCAACTCCATTGTCTATTCAAACATCAGCTAAATGTGACCATCATAAAGTCAGAGAGCAGAGGTGCCATGCTTGTCACATGAGTTATCAACTGTGGGACCATAGCCAATGCATGCAACTCAGCGGAGTTTCTCATTCATTGTGAATCCGGATACATGTTCAAAATGCTCAGGTGGCTGCAACACACGATTGAAAGAATGTGGGTAAGAAGTTGCAGATGGGACTTTGGGAAGTGTTCTGGGTGTTTAGACCAATTCGAGAATTTGAATGATTTAGTTAAGATTAAGCACAAATGAACCATTCGTCCAACTGCCAACAGCTCATGTGTTCTGGATGATTTCAGGAGCACATGTTTTATGAGCATGGGTACCTGAGTAACGCCTTCTTCTGGATACCTGTGGCAGCCTGTTTTACTCCTTACATTGCGATGAGCAGCATCGGCGACTATAAAGTAAGAAGAGTTAACAAAGTCCTCACATGTTCTTATTACTCAGAGACCCCTTCTCCATGTTACGACCGTATATTTAAATTAGGTGATACACCTAATTTACATGCTTGGAACAATGCATCATCGAGCATTTTAATTAAAGGTTGGCAAATATGAAGAACACACTATTTTTCTTAAACAAATGTGAGACCTCAAGAAAGACAGCCTAGGAGGTATATCATCAGTTAACAGGGGATGGCAGCTTTCATCTAGTTGATCACTTTGACTTTTATTGATAGCCATGACCCTCTGACATCACCACAACACCTCTCTCAGTGACAGTTTTCGATTTAAGATGGTGGTGAAGTTGCTCAGTTAAATGATCCAAACCTACTCACCACAGCACCTTGGCTTATTGTTGAAAATCATGGCCCCTCCCAAGGTTCATTTTAGCTTCATTCGATTGGAACATACTTGTACTAAAAAATTTTTTAAAAGATATTTATCTAAAATTCAAATTTAACTGGCAGCTCCATATCGATACCTCTTCTCCTTAAACTCTGTAGCCAGATAATAGTGAAGTCATGGAATCTGCTTCTGAAATATGTCTAGAATCTTTGCACATTCTTCCATCTTTCCTACGACACCCTAGTCAGAGCCACTGTCATCTCTCTTCTGGACAAGCACATCAACCTCCCTAATTGCTCACTATGGATCCTTATTAGTCATCTCCTTATCTATTCTCCACACAGTGGGACAGCGCAATTACTTAAAAACACTCATCTGACCATGCAGATTACCTGCCTAAGTCCCTAAGTGGTTTCTTGACAAACCAAAAAGTGAGAATGAAATCCTTGCTGTAGCCTAGAAAGACCTGGCTGTCTCCTCACTTTGCTATGACACCACTATCCCCTCTGTAACTGTGTCCAGCCATGCTGGCTTCTTTCCAGTTTCCCAAGAGCATCAACTCCACCCACTAAAGGTCTTCTCTTCTGTGCTCTCTGCCTGCAGAGCTCCCTACCTGTCACCTGTGTGACTCCTACTCACCACTTAGAACTAACTCAGGCCCTTGAAAAGGGAACCTTCCTTTATGGGTCCCCTAATTACAGTTCATCTCTCATAGGACCTTTATCTTATTTATACTTCTTAAATTTTAATTTTAACAATTTTAATTATGTAGCTACTACTGTAGTTATTCACATACTGCCTTTACCACTGTTGTCCCCTGCACTTAAACTCCACTAGAGCCCCATGACCAACACAAAGCACATGGTATGCTCAGTAAACATATATTGAACACATTAATGAACAGAAAATATCCAGTTCTCTAGCACACCCTCACTATCATTCTCTTTCCTGTTTTTTTCCCAGGTACTCTCCATCCTAACTTTTTTCCTGATGTCTTTATAATAGACTCAACTTTAGATTTAAAATTTCATCACATTTGCATGTCTGTTAGGAAACGTCAACTGTTAGGAAAGTTGAAGTAATATTAAAACCCTGTGTTAAGACAGTCATCGCAACCATATAGCATAGAGTGGGTCACGATATCAAAATCTACTTACTAGTTTTCATACATAATAATGAAAAATGTGGTTTACTTCAAGACAATAAGTGTCTTATTTTTATCTCATAACAGACATTTTCTTACGCCAACCTAAAGAGTTGGTCATGAAATTGACTTATCAGAAGATCATTTCTTAGACCTAAAATAAAATGCCAATTATAAACGGGCTGTTTACATCCAGCATAAATTTGAAGAATCTTACAGGAAATTTGTAGACCTACATCTTTTGAATCTTTGTACAATTTGCAAGTCTCCATTAGTGCCAAAAGGAAGAGTAACTTTACAAAGAAAAGAGCAGGAATCTTATTGAAGCAGCATCCAGTCATTCTGTGATAGAATATGAACTTGTTCTCTTAGCGCATTTTTCTTTGGGAAAATGAAATCACCATGTAGTTTGGAGCACCATCAATCCCCCTGGAGTGAGGCCAGTAACAGTGTCATTTACTAAATCAGCACAATATGTGAAAGGGACACACACACAAAAATGAATGATTTTGTGACCACATATTTGCAACTTCTCAAGTCTTAGCTCTTCAGAACTTTTGATGATTCTTCCTTTTCTTTTCCAGAAAAAAGCTCACTCGCAGCTACGGATTTCAGGCCTCTACCCTTCTGCTTATTGGTTTGGCCAGGCACTGGTGGATATTCCACTCTACTTCTTGATCCTCCTTCTAATGCAAATAATGGATTATGTTTTTAGCCCAGATGAGATTATATTTATAATTCAAAACCTCTTAGTTCAGGTAAGTGGCAAAAATTATGAGATAGTTTTATTAGGCTATATTTCACGAATTCAGAGACATTATTAACCTTAAACTAAAGAACTCCAAATTACCTTCATTATAGCATAGTTTGGAAAGCTAAAGTTTAAGCATTAATGCTTTCCTAGACAGTATTTACCTTATCCAACCTTAATATTTCTATTTCCAGATCTTGTGTAGTATTGGATACGTCTCATCTCTGATTTTCTTGACATATGTGATTTCATTCATTTTTCGCAATGGGAGGAAAAATAGTGGCATTTGGTCATTTTTCTTCTTAATTGTAAGTATGCAGACAGTACATATTGTTTGATTTTTAAATCATGTTTAAATAAGTTTAAGAATATGTATTTTAAAGGCACAATCAACAAGAAGGACAATATCAAACTAAAAAGCTTCTGCATAGCAAACAAAACAATCAACAAAATGACAGGGACACCTATGAAATGGGGAAAATACTTATAAACCATATATCTGGTAAGGGCTTAATATTAAAGATATGTAAGGAACTCATATAACTCAATAGCAAAATCATCATCATCATCATCTTCATCATCATCATCATCGTCATCGTCATCTGATTTTGAAATGGATAAAGGATCTAGATAGACATGTTTCCAAAGAATACATCCAAATGGCCAACAGGTATGTGAAGACAAGCTCAATATGACCATCATCAGGGAAATGCAGATCAAAAGCACAATGAGATATCACCTCATGCCTGTTAGAAAGACTATCATCAAAAAAGACGAGACATAAGAAATGCTGGCAAGGGTGTGGAGAAAAGGGAATCCTTTACACCACTGGGGGAATGTACATTGGTATAGCCACTATGGAAAACAGTATGGTGGGTCCTCAAAAACTAAAGAAAAAAATAGAATAACTATAAGATCCAGCAATTCTGCTTCTGGGTATTTATCTGAAGGAAATGAAATCACTATCTCATAAAGATACATGCACCCCATATTTATTGCAGCATTATTCATTGCAGTCAAGACATAGAAACAACCTAAGTGTTCACTGACAGATGAATAGATAAAGAAAATGTAGTATATACATACAATGAAACATTATTCAGCCATAAAAAGAAAGAAATCCTGCCCCTTGTAGGATTAACTTTGAGGAGATTAGGCTAAGTGAAATAAGTCAGATAGAAAAAGACAGATACTGTATGATTTCATATATATATGGAATCTAAAACAGCTACCCCATAGAAACAGAAAAGAATGCTGTTTACCAGGGGCTGTGGGTGAGGGAAATGGAGAGATATTGACTAAAGATATAAACTTCCAGTTATTAGATAAATAAGTTATTGGGATATAATGTACAGCACCAGGATTATAGTTAACAATATTATATTATACACTTGCAAGTTGTTAAGAGTGTAAATCTTAAATGCTTTCACTGAAACAACAAAAAAAGGTAATTGTGTAAGATTAGGGATGTGTTAACTAACCTTATTTTGGTAATCATTTCACAATATATATGTGTATCAAATCATCATGTTGTACATCTTTAGCTTACACAATGTTGTATGTCAATTATATCTCAATAAAGCTGGAAGTGGAAAGGAGAACCATTTAAGGATGAAATTAATCTGACTAAGAAATAAATTAAAGAATTTAAGAAAAAATTTTAAATGCTATAAAAGCACTAGTATGGACCACTGAATTCTGTTAAACATGGATGAAGATTGCATAACTTTGGGAATCACGGTTATAATATATTTATATTTAAAAATCCACAGAGCGTAATAGTTCCTTTTATGAAGTAAGTGTAACTTTAGTAACAAAAGCTAAGAAAGATAGAGCAAAAAAGAAAAACATTGATAATCTGGAAAATCAAAGTTCTCTAAATAAAAAGATAACAAAATAAACCCAAAATAAATTTTAAAAAGAAGATAGTTCAGTATGATTTATTTCAGATTGCAGTGATGGTTCACTATTAGCAGTTGGCAAGCTAACAGAGGAAAAATTGCATGAATTAAGGAAACACCATGCCATTCTTTTAAAAATGCCCAGTAAAAAATATAAGCACAGGAAGGACAAATTACTAAAAACCAATGGCCAATACTATAGTACTCAGTAAACTTATACAGCTAGTCACCTAATATCAACAATAAAACAAGGATACCTACAACGATTAATTATAGCACCCAGTGTCAGTGAGGTGGCGTAACATGCGCACCCATTCATGGTTCATCAGAACATAGACTGTCACCATCTTTTTGAAAAATAATCTGTTATTAACCATTAAAATTTTGAATTCACATAATTTTAAACCACATTTATACTTTTCAGAATCTTTCCTTAAAGACTAAGAGTGTCAATAGGTAAGGATTTATGTAGACCATCATTTATAGGGGCAGAGAAATGGAAACAACACATTTTCTGAAGGCAGAATTATTTAATTCTTTCACATCTGGTCAAAGAAAAACTATACAGCTATGAGAATGAGTAGCTGGCACGTCTAACAGCCAAACAGGTGCCAATGACCTACTGTGAAATGCAGCGCAATGTGCAATAAATAGCCCTTTTGTCAGAATCTGAGTTTCAGCAAGAATCCAAATGATTTGCATGCATGTTGAATTTGTGTCCTAAAAATGTCATAGTCAATCCAATACAATCTTATGTTGCAAATTAAAAATAACCATGGTGGTAGTACTGCCTTATGAGGCAAACGCTGAAAATAAGAACATTTACAAGATGAATTCCCACCCTCTTGGAAAACATCCTAAAATTCAGATTTGTTACACTTGAGTGAAATTAGACCGCTATTTTTTTTTAGATCACTATCTTCTCAATAGTTGCTACGGATCTAAATGAATATGGATTTCTAGGACTATTTCTCTGCACCATATTAATACCACCTTTTACACTGATTGGCTCTCTGTTAATTTTCTCTGAGGTAAGTAATTTCACTCCTATCCTCAGGTCATGAAATATGTGGCCACGGAAAATAGCCTAGTATATTCTAAAAATGTATATGGAGTCCTTATCTGTACAGAATTTGAAGACTAGGGATCCCTGGGTGGCGCAGTGGTTTAGCGCCTGCCTTTGGCCCAGGGCGCAATCCTGGAGACCCGGGCTCGAATCCCACATCGGGCTCCGGGTGCATGGAGCCTGCCTCTCCCTCTCCCTCTCCCTCTCCCTCTGCCTATGTCTCTCTCTCTCTCTCTCTGTGTGTGTGTGTGTGTGTGTGACTATCATAAATAAATAAAAATTAAAAAAAAAAAAGAATTTGAAGACTCTGTCTTTGGAGAGATCATTCTCTTACCACAGTCAAGAGTCTTGTTATTCAAAAAAAAAAAAAAAAGAGTCATGTTATTCAATAAGGAGCTCTGTCTTGGTTCATGAAGGTCAAGGATATTTCTACAGTAGTAGAATTTTATAGTTCTTGTGATAACATTCTCTCCTTGGAACAAATGACCCTACTGGGAAGCTAAGAGATGCACTTTTTCTGTTAATTTTGGACATACTGAATTTAAGTTTCCTAATAGGCATGCAATGGGAAATGCCATGTAGCCAGTAGATATTTGCATCTAAAATCCAGCAGGTGATTACTTGAGATTCATCAGCATATAAATGCTATCTAAAGCCATGGCACTAGACAATATAACCTACAGGGTAAGTATAATTAGAATAAAAAGTGAGCCCAAGATTTGACCTGGACACCAAAATTTAAAAATCGAGAAGAGGAAGAGTCTTCTCCTCTTGAGAAAGAACTCGTGAGGTAGGAAAAAAAGTGGAGGACTCTTGTGTGCCAGAATCTATTTTCAGGAACTTTCCTTAAACACTTAAAGTATCCGTACAGAAGGATATGTGCCAGATGGCACTAAAGAATATTTCAGGAAGGAGGGAATGATTTAACTATCAAACAAGAGGTCTAGAAAGTTGATAACTGAGATCACTGGACTGACTACATGGAAGTCACTGGTGATATTAAGCAGATAGAATTCAAGGAAAGGGTGAAGGCCAAACCAAACAAGAATGAGCTTAGGAGATACTGTGAGATGAGGAAGGTGTGCAGGGTGCAGAGATACCTACTTCCAGCTTTGCTAAAAAGAGTATCAGAGATGGAATGAGGAGAATACATTTTGGTCTAGGAAGGTATGAGCAAAATTTCTGATGAAAAGAGGGACATGAACTATCTAAAAAGCCAAGTCTTTGAACAGCTGAGAAATGAATGTCATAGAGCGCCCAAGCAAAGAAGTTGCTTTCTATCAAAGCAGGAACATTCCATCCATTTACCAAGATCATAGCATGAGGCAGATAGATCAGTGGCTTTGATGGTAGGAAGAGGCATGATTCTTTTCTGTGCAATCCTCTTTCTTAGGGAAAGAGATGAACTTATCAATATAGAGTGAGATGAACAGGGGTGTTGAAAGTTTGAGGATAGAGGAAATGATGTGAACAGTGATTTCAGAAAGTAAGTCAGTAGAACTGGCAGGCAGTGCTCAAAGTAAGTCAGTAGAACTGGCAGGCAGTGCAGGAAAGTACCCCTTGCCGTACTTTCCAAGTGAGGTCAGCAAAGTTGATAGTTTTTCTTATCATAATCTCCTTCTCATACGCAATTCAGGGCAGGTGGAGTTAAGTTCAATCAGGCTTAGTGTTTTTGCCAGGGGAGTCATGGAGCTCTATATAAGTTCTATATAAGGAGAGATTCTATAAGGAGTTCTATAAGGAGAGATTATAGCAACGGACCGTGGATTCTAAGCTAGGGAATGATGAAGTTAAGGAAATGAGGGGGTTTATGGACAGTGAGACAGTGGTGAGGTTGGTGGGTTGGAAGGTCACCAACTCCAGATTACAGAGTAAGGATGAAAAAATAAGACACGGTAGACAGGGCAAAGAGGAGGGGGACTAACATAGATTTTGGATGTGGTACTGTATTTGGAAGTGGGTGACTGAGGCACATAGGAGAACAAGATCATTTAAAATAAGGTCCAGGTCCCGGCCAACCATTCAATGCAAAAACATAATCATCTTTTCTAGATGGTGGACAAATGTGATAGAGTTTACCATATCAGCCTAAGATTGCTCAGAAGAAAGTCCTGGGAAATATAGCTCAGGAAATAAAATTGGCTCTTTACTCTTTATTTACTAAAGAGTTGAGAGATGCTTTAAGATGTTTTGTGTATCTAATGAAAATCATGCACTTATGCATTATGGATGGATATTATGGATATTATGCGTGTATTGTAAATCTAATGAAAACTGCAGAACTCCAGGTGAAGATCTTTGTCTTTGTCATGATTATTCTTAAGAGTGGGCGGAGCAGGGGTCAGAGCAATGTAATGGTTCCAGGGCTCTTGGGGAAGGAGCACAGATGTAGAGAGAAAGACAGGTAAAAGTTAGGGGTGAAGGTTTGTCTTAAGACAGATCTTGCCCATGGCTTTGATGGGTCCTTCCAGCACCACCCAGGATTCTCCTAGCAGGGTGAATCCTGCTGACTCACAGTGTTAAGTATAAAAGCATCTGAGCCTCTAGTCAAGCAGTCACTCGGTGACTTTGAAAGCACGGAAGACACACAGGGCAGTCAGAAATTGACTTTTACCTGATGCACACAAGAGAGAACGCTGGCAAGGTCATTTAATGGACATTAATTTATCTTACATGAGGTGAGATTTACGAACAGAAAAAGGTTCATCTAAATATACTTTTCCTCATTTTATAGATTTCTCCTGACTCCATGGATTATTTAGGAGCTTCAGAACAGCAAATTGTGTTTCTGGCACTGCTAATAGTAAGAATACATTTCCATTTAAATGTTCTTGCATGAGGGGGACACATTTGTATGCTTAGCATTAAGTTAAAAAGTTTAATTTGGGCACTTAAAAATCCAGCTTTTTTTTAAAGATTATTTATTTATTTATTTATTTATTTATTTATTTATTTATTCATGAGAGACACAGAGAGAGAAAGGCAGAGACACAGGCAGAGAGAGAAGCAGGCTCCATGCCCAATGTGGGACTCGATCCTGAGACTCCAGGGCCCTGGGCCGAAGGGAGACGCTCAACCACTGAGCCACCCGGGCATCCCAAAATCCAGCTTTTAAAGCATATCTGAAGCAACACACACACACTGAGTGTGGACCCAAACTCCCAATGGCATGAACAGTCCTGGTACCAACTTACCACTGTCTTGTCTGTTATGGCTTTTCTGAAGAGCAGTGAAGCTAGTGCTGAGAGTTTCATTGAATATTAAATTGTCTTTCAAAATGCTGAAAATGTTATCAGATGTATTTTTGTACATAAGATCAATCTCCTTAAATAAATTCCAATATTAAAGTTGTTGTTTTTATGGTGATTTCTAATATTGATTGTCTTTTTCTCCCCTTAGCCTTACCTTCATTTTTTCATTTTCGTTTTTGTTCTCCGGTGTCTGGAAGTGAACTTTAGGAAGAAATCAATGAGAAAAGATCCTGTGTTCAGGTTGAGAAAATTCCAATAAAATTTCATGTGCTATTTTAATATTCATTGTTTAAAAACATTGTTATATTCTTAAGTTAATTAAGTAAAAATTACTGCACAAGTTTTTTTTAAAGGAATTGTGTAGTATACAAAATTACTAAAATTCATGATACTTTTATGAGCTCACAATCTAGTACTGGAAGCCACATTAGCACATGTGAGACACTGAAAAATTAAGGAATACCATAATTTCACTGACATACTAAAAGAAAGTTATATAGGAGAGGTAAAAGCTTTAAAATAATGGGTAAGTAAAGATAAATAATTGGTAAGTGTAGCCTGTCCAGGAAGGTAGTTTGAGCAAAAGAACAAAAGGTAGTATAAATGCCACCTTCCTGTAGATTTGAGAAGTAGCTAAAAAGAACTTGAAGGTTTGTATTGCAAGATAATGGATATTTAAATTAAAGCTAAATTTTGGAGGATTTTGGAATAAAGAAGCATAGGGAAGATTTTGCAAATTACCTAATGGGAAACAAAGACAGGAATGTTTTAGAAACCTCACCTAACTGACAAGATATGAATCAAGTTCAAGCGTGAAGTAGGTGGTAGAGCAGGAGCGTGACAAGAAGATAGCCATGTTTTAGGAAATCAGCAGACAGCAGTAATTTGGGATGGCATGAAAGAGGGAGATGAAAATCCAGGATGATGAAGGAAAAATTGGATGGGTAACAGTCGGGAAGGAGTGATTCTGACCCATATTCCTAAGAAGTGGCGATGCTCACTCACTGGTGATTATGTGTCCTGGATTATCTGGGATGCATCTCTAATTCCAAATGCTTCCATCCATGGTTCTTGCAAAGTCTTTAGAATTCCAAAATGTCTGCCAAAATTCCAGTTCCTAGATGCCTTTCTCATGCAACTGTCCTTTGGAATCTGTGTCCTATTTTATTTATTCATTTTTTTTAAAAGTCACAATCAACAAGGAAAAGTAAACCCAGGCAAAGAGTGAGGATGATGTAAGAGTAACATCATTTGACTCATCAGTGGAAACCAGGCTGTTTACAAAGCAGATGGCGTAGAGTGGAAAAATAGGGATTATGTTGTACTCACGGTTAATCTGTCCACATCACTGAGAGCAGTCTACAGAAAGCTCATTATTTTGGCTACAAGTTTTTCAACTGGAAATCTGTTATTATCACACTGTTTTGATTTTAGAATTTCTCCAAGAAGCAGCAGTATTTTTCCGAACCCAGAAGAACCCGCAGGAGAGGGTGAAGATGTTGAGGCGGAAAGAAGGAGAACCACAAATGCTGAGACTCTTGCAGATTTTGATGGGGTACAACTACTAAAAACGTTCATCCAAGAAAGGGGGGCTACATCCTCATCTGAATATTTTGAAAAACACTTTGTGTTTCTTTCATCCTCCCACACATAGCTCATTACTTGATTTCAGTGAATATGCAATGTCTACAAGGATAGGAGAACAAGGCAAATACACACACATTGCATGGACACAGGCTTGTTATTTTTTAGGGTTGTTGATCCAAAATCTTTAGCATGGCCAAAAAGGTTACTGCAAGAGGAGAGAGTCCCTCTGAGGGGTGTGTGTGTGTGTGTGTGTGTGTGTGTGTGTACATGTGCATGTGTGAGTCTGTGCCTTAACAGTCTTTTTGGTTTGGTGGATGTCTCTATTCCTATCTTCTGAGGAAGGACAAACACCAATCATGCGATATGGTGCAAATGTTATTTCCCTGCATGAATATAGATTGGGAGAGGTCACTTGAAAATGGCAGTTTCTGGGGGAAGGACTTGTCTGACGCATGATTCTGTACAGGGAAAAATGTGGTTGGAGGGGGTATGGAGCGCTCACTCATTTCCAGGTAAAAATAAAGTCCCCTTGTCATTTACTTGTCTCTACAGAAACCTGTCATCATTGCTAGCTGTCTACGGAAGGAATATGCAGGCAAAAAGAGAAACTGCTTTGCTAAGAGGAAGAAAAAAGTGGCCATAAGAAATGTCTCTTTCTGTGTTAAAAAAGGTTGGAGACAGTAGTTTTAACTGTTAGCAGAGTGATCTTGACCTCCCGAGATGAGGTCTTTGGGAGGCAGGACTGGTACCTGAATCTGGGGCCCTCTGCTGAAATCATGAGAGGCAGCCAGCTCATCAGCAGGCACATGATTAAAAACCTCAGTTCCGAAAACAGTGGTGTTTTTTTTTTCTTTGCCTAAAAAGACAGTTATGTCCGTTCTGTTAAAACGGGCAAACAAAAAAGAACAACAGCAAAAAAATAAAATAAATAAAATAAATAAAATTTTTTAAAAAAGAAGAAAGAACGAAGAGAAAAGGAACCAGTCCTTCTGTTGAGAAGGATGATGTAGCTTTTGAAGTAAGATGATTGATTTCACAACAGGGAACGTACCAGAGCAGACTCATTGGGGCACAGCGGTGCGGTCTCCATTCTAACAAACAGCACATTTTGTGGAAGTGTCTGTTAAATGCAACAGACTTTGGAAGCAAGATTTGTTTCAAGTCTAGCTCAGCATCTTATTGGCTGGATGACTGTGCACAAGTCACATACCCTCCTTACCCTTCACTTTCTTTGCCTATAAGATGAAGTCAATAACAATGCTTAGGGGGGGTGTATGTGTGTGTGTGTGTGTGTGTGTGCGTGAAGAATAGGTGAAATAATGCATTAGTGCACTAGACACAGAGCTTGACACATAGTGAGCTTTCTAATAGCATTTGCTTTTATGTTTATTGAAATTATTTGAAGTTCTAATTCTGAGCATACCTACTTCTTTCAGGTGAAGTTATAGGGCTCTTAGGACACAACGGAGCTGGTAAAAGTACAACTATTAAGATGATAACTGGAGACACAAATCCAACTGCAGGACAGGTCAGTAAAACACACAAAAACATGGTCATTAATGCTGCCTAATGAAGCACTAAACAGTGAACATTTGATGACAATCTTAAAAAGGCATAAATGATCCTTTCGTATTAATCAATTGTGTTGTGCATTGAAATGAAGAAGATTAAAAATTTCTCTCCTTAACAAACGAAAATTTCCTCCTTAATTCCAAAAATAGGTGCTGAAAAGGGTACATATTGTCTACAACATATGCTTTATTGAATGACAAGTAATGACATTAACAGGAAATATTTTGTTAAGTGAAGCTAAACATTAGCTTTCTTCATGGTCAGAGATCTTTTTTGTTTTTGTTTTTGTTTTTGTTTTTTGTTGACTTATGTAGCCTGACGATTTGTTGAATTGAATTGTCAAGATCCAGGATTTATTCAGAAAACAGAGATCATAGATTGGAGAAAAAAATAACTATTGTCTAAATTCCAAATCAAAAACTAGAATGATATATGGATGCCACTTGGCAGTACGTCTAGGCCAAGTTGGATAAAATGATTGACAGAGGTCCACAGGACGGAATGACTGAGCAGAAGCTACAGAATGTTGAGGGAGGGCAGAGGGAGTGACCATGAAGAGAGGTTGTCTCATGGTGTGGATTGCAACAGAGGTCTCCAAATTATCTTTCCATTTCTACTCTTGCCTACATAGCGACCAGCGGAATCCTTCAAAGATGCAGATGAGATTGTGTCACTATCCTGTTTATCATCCTTCAGTTAGAATTGATCCAAAATCTTTACCATGGCAGAAAAAGGGCCCTGTAAGATCTGGGCTCTGCGTATCTCTCACTCACATTGGCCTTTGGTCATCGTCCCTCTGTAGGACCTTTGGGTTTATTTTTCCATTGGCTGGTGTGCTCCTCATTCAACTTTGTACTCGGTTACCTTCTTCTCATCACCTTGAAATTTACCTCCCCACAAGGACTTTCCCTAACTACACTCGTAGCTACACTGGATCTTTTTCTTATTCTTTATCACATTTATTGCCTTGAAAGCTTTAAGCAGGGGCTATAATTCATCCCTGTATTCTCTATTTTTTTTATTTTCCATCCCTCTCTCTAGAGTGAAAGCTCTGCAAGCCCACATTGACTAGTCCTCTCTTCCTCCGTATTAGGGAAAGGCAATATGGCATTGAAGTCAAGGGTTGGATTCTGAAGGCAGAGTCCAGCTTTAACTGCTGGGGGTAACTTGTGTGACCTTCTTCAAGTCTCTGAATCTATGCACATGTTGGTTTTCTCCTATGTGAAACAAAGATGATAAAACTACGACCTGAGTCATATAGAGTTCTTCAACACTATATAAATTACTCGATGATGTGCTCGCTTCGGCAGCACATACACTATAAATTACTTGATGAAGTAATTTGTATAAAATAATTTGATCAAATAATTCAAAACACATAAATGCTTAGATTCTAGCACATGGTAAGCCCTGGTACACATTACCTGTTAATATTATCGTATAGCAAAATGACTGGTTCATAAAAATAATAAATGCCATTTTAGTGGTGCTTATTGGTTGCTCTGTGCTGGACTAGTGCCAAGGACTTTTCATTTATTACCTTAGCTCAGGATTTCTCAAGCTTGGCACTGGTAACGTTTTGGACTGGTTTTTTTTTTTTTTGAAAGGAGTGTCCTGTGCATTATAGGATGTAGAGTAGCATCCCTGGCCTCTATCCATTCCATCCCAGCAGCACCCAAATATAACAATCAAAAACATCTCCAGACATTACCCAATGTCTTCTGGAAGGAAGATTGTCCCTAATTGAGAATCATTGCCTTTTTAAATGCTCACGATAAACTTGTGGAACAGGTCCTATAATTTTAGCTAGTTTAACACTGAGGACACAGAATCCTCAACAAGTGTCTAATCCTTTGAACTCTTGGATCAATGAAGGAGGCCAAACAATGGACAACCAAATAAGCAGCCCTGAATTCAACCAACGTAATGGGCTTGGCAATAAAGGCTAAACTACAAGAGAGGGATATGTCAATGTGGAATATCTTCCTTTTGATCTGTTGAATTTTTACCATCTTTCTTCTCGAGCTAAGTGATCACTTACTTCCCTTTGCACTCTCGGCAGCCAGGTGCATCGCTCAATTATGCACTTATGTGCACATACACATGTACACACAATTTTGGACTGAATGTGAGAATTAATTTTTTGTAGGTGATTTTGAAAGGGAGCAGTGAAGGAGACTCCCTCGGGTTCCTGGGCTACTGTCCTCAGGACAACGTGCTGTGGCCCAACCTCTCAGTGAGGGAACATCTGGAGGTGTTCGCTGCCATCAAAGGGCTGAAGAAAGGGGATGCTACAGTCACCATCACACGGTACCTGGAGGGGAGAGACACACCCTTTCTCTACTGGGGGTGATGTGATAGGAATGATGTTGACACAGAATTAACGATGGGAGATTCTAACCAATGACTTCATGCCTGTGGGAGAAGATTTGGTTATCAAGAAGCCAGCTGAGTGTTGTGTTCTTGCACACTAAGGCTGGAGAGAAAAATTTTATTGATTATCCCTCATATAGAAAGGAGTCATTGAAAAATATGAATTTGCTAGGAAAGATTCATAAAGGATCCTAGGTGGTTTCAATTTTATGATCATTGAGAATACTCCTTTTAAAATGTTTCTGATATAGTGTTTGTTCTGATTTGCCCATTCCCCACTCACAGTCTCCACAGTTTGAGGGTGATGTGGATTGACGCACTCTGCTTCCTTCAGGTTGGCAGATGCGCTCAAGCTGCAGGACCAGATGAAGCTGCCCGTGAAGACCTTATCCGAGGGAATAAAGAGGAAGGTAGGAACAGGGCCCGGTGTTACTCTGCGCACCCTGCCTGTTGGTGTCAGACACACTGTTCCTCTCGTTCCAGCTGTGCTTTGCACTGAGCATCCTGGGAAACCCATCCGTGGTGCTTCTGGACGAGCCATCCACGGGCATGGACCCCGAGGGGCAGCAGCAAATGTGGTGAGGAGGTGTCATGAATAAACTTAAGTGAACTGATCAGTCCTATAACAACTGGTCTTCAAAATCATCGTTTATAAGGCAAAAGACAACACGTTATCAGGAAATGAAATAAGGGGGAAAAATCTGACTCTCCATCACAGCCAATTTTTATTAAGAAGAAAAAGAGAATTCTAACACCCTACTACTTTAAGAATCTTGTTTTTCATCATAGGTCTTCCGGATATGCATGGCCTGTTTTTATACTCAACCACATCCATCTCTTACTCAGTTTCAATTCCTACAGCATCACCTGATATGTGGTTCTTATGGAGGAAAAAAAATCCCAAGTTCTTAGGATTCTGAAATCTGCTGTTTTGTACTTTATCATTACTATCATGCTTTTAAATAAGTGCTTCTCATTTTCCATCTTTCTTCCCATTGCCCTCTCATACATACCCTGGGAATTCAGCATTTCTAAATACCCTTTTACCCAATATCATCCTCTACATCCAGCCCCAGCCATGTTCTGAATTCAACACTCTGCCCAATAGTTGGGATATTGACATGACTGCTGTGCCTTCAAAAATCCTTTCTTTGTCTAATCTGAATTCACTAGTTGTTGCATGTTTGCCAGTGAAACATGCTTGAAAGTCTTATCCTCTTACCTTGAGCATTCCAGCTAGCTAACATTGTCCCTGACCTAATATAGGCAGATGATCCGGGCCACCTTCGGGAACACGGAGAGGGGCGCCCTCCTGACCACCCACTACATGGCAGAGGCCGAGGCCGTGTGTGACCGCGTGGCCATCATGGTGTCGGGAAGGCTGAGGTGGGTGCCCATCCCTGCCCACCCTTGGGCCCCCGTGGGCCAGGAGCAGAAGACATTTTCCCACATGGTGTTATCACTGTCCCCAGCTGGAGTGGCTGGCTGCTTCCCCTCTGCATGGCGCTGGCCTTTCTCTGGAGGCTGAAAATCACCAGCCATAGATTTATCTTTCCCTTCTCTTACTTAACTTCCTCCTCCTCCTCCCTCCAGATGTATCGGTTCTATCCAACATCTGAAAAGCAGATTTGGCAAAGATTATCTGCTGGAGATGAAGGTGAAGACCCCCACCCAGGTGGAGCCCCTCCACTGTGAAATTCTGAGACTTTTTCCTCAAGCTGCCCGGCAGGAAAGGTAGGCACAGGTGTTGGTTTTGTGTCTTCTATTATTCCGTTTTCTATTATTGTGAAGAGAAATAAAAGCCTTACTTGATCATTCTTTTTGGGTTTTTTAACCCTATGGTAATTGTATTTTAATTATTAGAGAAATTATGGTAATTGTGAGTATTTTAATTATTAGAGGAAGGCCCGATTCCAAGGGAATTTCCTTCCATGGGAGGGAAATGAGAGAGCAAAGTACTGATTTGGAAGCTGATTGTTGTAAGGGAATTTGCATTCCTGGCTGCTCGCTCATGAGCCAGGTCCTAACATGTGCGAGGACCGAGGTCATCGGGATCCCTTCTAGAGGGTAAAACCATCCCCATTAAATACGACCACTAGTCTAAAACCAAGAGCCACTACCAGGCATCAGTCAATGCTCAGTGAGTGGTGGCTCTTAGCACTTTTATTATTATTGGTAATGGCACTTGAGGCTCAGGTCAGTTAGACCACACCAAACCCTAGCAGCAGAGGCAGGAGGCAAACTTAGTGCTTTTGTCTTAGATGCTATTCTCTTCTCACTAAGGAAGAAGGATAATAAGTAATCCTGGGGTGCAGGCGCTGGGGGTTTCCTCTGTGTCTCATTCCTCCTGAGACCAAAAAGGAGCTTAGCTCTGAGAGCCTCCTCATGCTTCTTCTTGAGTAAAATGACTTCTTATTGGTTAAAGAACATTCACTACCTCTGTCCATTGCTCTGCAGACACATGCATTGAAATAAATTGTTGGTGATATTGTTGCTGCTGCTTATTTTTTATTTTATTTTATTTTTAAAAGATTTTATTTATTTATTCATGAGAGACACCAGAGAGAGAGGCAGAGACATACACAGAGGGAGAAGCAGGCTCCTTGCAGGGCCCCCGATGTGGGCCTGAATCCCAGGACCCCAGGATCGCGACCTGAGCTAAAGGCAGATGCCCAACCACTGAGCCACCCAGGAGTCCCTGTTGCTGCTTTTTAGATGCACATCCATCAGTGGTTGTCTTCTTGCAACCTGGAGCTCAGCCTCACTCTCTGTTCCTCGTAGGTACTCCTCCCTGATGGTCTATAAGTTGCCTGTTGAGGATGTGCGACCCTTATCACAGGCTTTCTTCAAATTAGAGATAGGTAAGAGTCACTGTTTAGAGATAAGGACTCCGGGAAACAGAGAAATTCAAATCTTGCATTAAACCAGTATAAGAGGTACACGGACATGAAATTGTGCCGTTATACCAGAAATAAAGTATTAAGACTTTTAATCCAGTGCTTCTCAACCACAAGTGATTTGGTGATGTCTGTGGATATCTTTGGTTGTCATAACTAAGGCTGGAAGTTGGGGGCGGGGGGGGGTAATGACTGGTATCTTGTGGGTTAAGGCCAAGGATGATGCCAAACATCCTGCAATGCACACAGGTCAGCTCCCTCCCACAGCATAGACGCATCAGACCAAAATGTCCTTTGTGGCAAGGGTGGGAAATCCTGTCCTAATTGAATGAGGCTCCAGAAGGAAGAGACCTTTGGCATTTGTGGCTGGAGTGTCCACAGATTCATACCAAAAAAAAATTTTTTTTGGCCTGTTTGTACTCTTAGATAGCATTAGATGTTGATAAGGAGGTCCCTCTCTATGGGAGTGGGCTAAGCCATAACTCTTTTCCAAACTCTTGGATTGTGATCTTTATGTACTGCATTGATCTATCATGGGCTCTGATTCCACCTATCACACCAGTGTATGAAATCTGATAAAACGCTGCACACACTCCCCTCTTTTTCTTTTTATTAAGTGGGCTCCACACTGGGCGTGGAGTAGGCTCACGTGGAGCCCACCATGGGGCTTGAACTCATGACCCTGAGATCAAGACCTAAGCTGAAATCAAGAGTCAGATACTCAACCAACTGAGTCACCCAAGAGTCCCTCTCCCCCTCTTCTTCACCTGTGCTTTCTTACTTGTCACCTGTCAGTCATTAGAAGCCCCAGACATTCTAGTTCTTAGAGAAATTTTTCTCCTTGAGTCAAGGTTACAATTGCCGGAGATAGCTTCTTTTCACTTCCTCCTTCTGCTGGTCACCTTTGCTCTATGGGCCATTTCTCACCGTGGCCATCCTGGCCTAGTGACCAATTTTGCATCACCCTAGGGAGAAGCATTCCTACAACAGACTCAGATCAGCATGAAGGGTTTTACAACCAGTTAGGAGAAGGGAGGGAGACATTCCAGGAAGGCTGCCTCCCTAATGTACAGGGGAGCCTTTTCTTAAGAGCCTTCTTCTTTTTTTTTTTAATAATAAATTTATTTTTTATTGGTGTTCAATTTGCCAACATACAGAACAACACCCAGTGCTCATCCCATCAAGTGCTCCCCTCAGTGCCCATCACCTACTCACCCCCACCCCCTGCCCTCCTCCCCTTCCACCACCCCTAGTTCATTTCCCAGAGTTAGGAGTCTTCATGTTCTGTCTCCCTTTCTGATATTCCCTACCTATTTCTTCTCCCTTCCCTTCTATTCCCTTTCACTATTATTTATATTCCCCAAATGAATGAGACCATATAATGTTTGTCCTTCTCCGATTGACTTATTTCACTCAGCATAATACCCTCCAGTTCCATCCACGTTGAAGCAAATGGTGGGTATTTGTCATTTCTAATGGCTGAGGAATATTCCATTGTATACATAGACCACATCTTCTTTATCCATTCATCTTTCGATGGACACCGAGGCTCCTTCCACAGTTTGGCTATTGTGGACATTGCTGCTAGAAACATCGGGGTGCAGGTGTCCCGGCGTTTCATTGCATCTGCATCTTTGGGGTAAATCCCCAGCAGTGCAATTGCTGGGTCGTAGGGCAGGTCTATTTTTAACTCTTTGAGGAACCTCCACACAGTTTTCCAGAGTGGCTGCACCAGTTCACATTCCCACCAACAGTGTAAGAGGGTTCCCTTTTCTCCGCATCCTCTCCAACATTTGTGGTTTCCTGCCTTGTTGATTTTCCCCATTCTCACTGGTGTGAGGTGGTATCTCATTGTGGTTTTGATTTGTATTTCCCTGATGGCAAGTGATGCAGAGCATTTTCTCATGTGCTTGTTGGCCATGTCTATGTCTTTCTCTGTGAGATTTCTGTTCATGTCTTTTGCCCATTTCATGATTGGATTGTTTGTTTCTTTGCTGTTGAATTTAGTAAGTTCTTTACAGATCTTGGATACTAGCCCTTTATCTGATACGTCATTTGCAAATATCTTCTCCCATTCTGTAGGTTGTCTTTTAGTTTTGTTGACTGTATCCTTTGCTGTGCAAAAGCTTCTTATCTTGATGAAGTCCCAATAGTTCATTTTTGCTTTTGTTTCTTTTGCCTTTGTGGATGTATCTCGCAAGAAGTTACTGTGGCCGAGTTTGAAAAGGGTGTTGCCTGTGTTCTCCTCTAGGATTTTGATGAATTCTTGTCTCACATTTAGATCTTTCATCCATTTTGAGTTTATCTTTGTGTATGGTGTAAGAGAATGGTCTAGTTTCATTCTTCTGCACGTGGCTGTCCAATTTTCCCAGCACCATTTATTGAAAAGACTGTCTTTTTTTCCAGTGGATAGTCTTTCCTGCTTTGTTGACTATTAGTTGACTATAGATTTGAGGGCCCATTTCTGGGTTCTCTGTTCTGTTCCATTGATCTATGTGTCTGTTTTTGTGCCAGTACCACACTGTCTTGATGACCACAGCTTTGTAGTACAACCTAAAATCCGGCATTGTGATGCCCCTGGCTCTGGTTTTCTTTTTCAATATTCCCCTGGCTATTCGGGGTCTTTTCTGATTCCACACAAATCTTAAAATAATTTGTTCCAAATCTCTGAAGAAAGTCCATGGTATTTTGATAGGGATTGCATTAAAAGTTTAAATTGCCCTGGGTAACATTGACATTTTCACAATATTAATTCTGCCAATCCAGCCTTCTAATGTTTCTGCTTTTAAACGTGTTCCCTCCCATTCAGATTCCTTCTGTTGTGTTTCACTTGCTAAAACTAAAGTTCTGCTTTCTTTTATCACAGTTTTCTGCCCCACTGTTGTTGGAAATATAAGTTAGCAATTCTTTTCCCCCCTCCAAATGTTAGATTAGACACAGTTAATCTTATTCTCAGTGATAATGCCTTTATTAAGTAGGCTCAGCAGTGTACAAGCCAACGCATGTCCCATGAACATTCCTTTGACCATTCCTTAGACTCATGCTCCCATAGCATCAGATCACTTTAGGGTATTGCAGCCTGCAACAGAACTCTGGCCTCGTGTGCTCACTCCAGATCAGAGTTGCTTAATATCTGGAAACTTGGATCTAAGGAGGCCAGAGAGATGGTTTTATCTTCCTTCTTATCTCATTCCCTTCTCTGTGCATATGCTGATGTTGTGAGCCTCCCCAGTATGGAGTGTAAGGGGAGAGAAAAAGAGAAAATTTGACAGCCAAGCTAGATTTGATCATTAGAGCCATACTATGGCATTAGGGCCTCCTGTGCAGAGATGAAATCCTTGAAGACTCCCTCTCCCCTCCCATCTGTAACTTCTGACTACAGCTTTCACTCTGGGGTGGGTGATGTCTTCTTCTCTTGGTCTCTTGGCCTCTTGGTCTCTTGCAGCCCCTGGGCCACTCTTGGAATCCCCATACCTTTCCAAGAGATCTCTTAGAGTACCTCCCATTGGATCCAGCGTCTTTGCCTCTCCAAACTCTGAAAGTACAGAGCCATCACCGTCCATAATTTTTTATGTGTTCCAAGACATGAGTCAAGGACACAATCCCATTTCCCCAAATTGCAGGCCAATCCCACCAATTCCTCTGGCTCAGAGAGGAGAAAGGAAAGGCAATCTGATAATTGCCCACAAGAAACCTCTCTGTTCATTATTTTCTTCCTTTTATGGATCTGCACGTTTGGGGTCTTAATCACAGTCCACATTGATAACAAATGGTAAACGGAAAGTAAGATAATTCAGCCAAGTTTGGTTTATGCAGGGACCGTTTGCAAAGGGGCAAGGCACAGTGTGATCACCCAAGACTAGAAACAGCAGAAGTGTTGCTATTCTTAGGTCCAAAGGGATTAAGAGAGGATGCAATGGTTAGAACCCAGGAGCAAATCATGTAGAATCTGCGACCCTGTGAGAAGAAGTGACTTTCAATCAAGGGACAAAGCTGATGTCAGGGTGGGCAGGAAGGCATAACGGTCTTGACCTCCCTGATGCTCTGTCCCTCCTCATTAGCTCACTTGTGGAAACCATCAGAAAAAGCTTCTTAAGTCAGCCAGTGGAGCAAAGAGCCAAGCAGAGCAGAGTGAAGGCAGATGTGGAGGGGGACATGCTAGTGTTCTAGCGCAGAGGGAACTGTCTCCCCACTGACCCTGCATAGGTGGTCTGGAACCTCACACTGCTTTTGTCTTGTGTGCCCCTCCCTAAACTCCAAGACAATGGGAGAGAATTTCCATCCTGTTACAAGACCACATGGAGAATTTACCTTTCCGTATTTAGTATGGGCGCTGCCCAAGCCAGCACATGTCTTTCCATAGTTAGTCTGAGAATACTTATTACCTTATCTTTTATAGTTAAAATCTGTTTGTATGTTTTGTATATCACTTGGTAAAACTCTCCAAGTTTAAAAAAAAAATAGATGAACTCCTAATGTATGTCTGCCCTTCTGCAGTTAAACAGAGCTTCGATTTGGAGGAGTACAGCCTCTCCCAGTCCACCCTGGAGCAGGTGGGTCAGCGGTAGGGACCCTGTGACATCCGTGGAACATTCATGTACAACATGTGCATGCGCTTTGCACTCACTTGCAGCAAGAGGGGGCAGCGTGACATCCCCGTCTCTGTCTTGCCCCTCTCAGGTTTTCCTGGAGCTCTCCAAGGAGCAGGAGCTGGATGACTTTGATGAAGAACTTGACCCTTCAGTGAAGTGGAAGCTCCTCCCACAGGAAGACCCTTGAAGCCCCAAGCTCCTCCCACAGAGAGACCCTGGAAGCCCCAAATACTCTATGTTTCTTTTGAATCTTATGCCTCTTTTTAAAGACAACATTTTATGTCATAAATATATCTTATCTCAGATATGATACAAAATGCTTCTGACACCCATGTCACCTTTTTTTCTCAATAATACGACACCTGCAAGGACTAAGGAGTAAAGTAAGTGAGAACAGTCACGACAGTGGACCATGGGGCCTCTATATGGGCAACTAAATCCCGCATGTCATACAGTAGTAAATAAAAAATGCATTTATTATAGAATGTTTGGGTTTCTGAAGATGATACAGACATTCTCTAATTTTCTTTTTTTGAACATTAAAATATAGACTCTTTCCTTATCCCGTTGAATTAAGTGCGTAAGTATAAAGTTAAGACCTAATCCTGATTTTAGGGGAATAGGAGGCCTTGATTGCAGCAGCACAGTAGTTGCTTTTCTTTTTTTGCAGTTTTTATTTAAATCCCAGTTAGTAAAAAAAATAAAAAAATTAAAAAAATAAATCCCAGTTAGTCAACACATAGTGTCATATTACTTCATGTGTCCAATACAATGACAAACGCTTCCGTACAACACCCGGCGCTCCTCACAAATATTTGCTTTCTGTAATTCAAGGTTTGTTTGGTTTTTGGTTTTTGGTTTGTTTGTTTTGTTTTGTTTTGTTTTGTTTGCTTATTTGTGATACACAACTTTTTCTTTTCTGTCATTTTTTTTCACATTTTAATATTGTACAGTCTATGTTTTGTCTGTCGTGATTATAAAGGCAATTTGAAACCTGTTAAAATAAGTAATTTCAGCAAGAATTTGAGTAATCAAGTTGATGAAAGTTTAAAAATGACGTATCTTGCAATTTTGAAATATATTTCTCATTTTATATGTTTTCTTGTGCTGCAAGGATCTACTCTTATGCAAACTTTAATTTCTCATTGTTTATGTATGTTATGACCTCTCCAACTGATGATCCTGTAAACACCTTAAAATCAGTGCAATATACTTGTATACTCTTATTTAGGTGAGTCTTTTGTTGTTCTTGCTACTATTATTGTTAGCTGTTATGGACTGAATTGTATTCCCCCAAAATTCCTATGTTAAAGCTCTGAACTCCAGTGTGGCTGTATTTGGAGAGAGATCAGACCTTTAAGGAGATAATAAGTTTCAATGAGGTCATAATATTGAGGCCTTAATCCAATAGCACTGGTATCTTTACAAAAAAGGGAAGAGACACCCATATCCCTCGATGCATTCACAAGGAATAGATCACATGAGGACATGGTGAGGTGGCTATATGGAAGCCAGAAAAAGGGACGTCACCAGAAACCACATTTTCTGGCACCTGTCCTGGGAGTCCCCATTTGGAGATGAGCTTCCCTACAGAGCGACCTGGACTATTCAGGATGGAACCATGAAACACACACCTATACACCAACACAAAACCAAAAAATGAAACTCCTTTGACAAAGTGGTATCAAGCTACTGAGATTACAGACATTGTGGGATTGTTTGTTACAACAGACAGTCAATATTATGTTAACTAACACAGGTGCCAGGAAAGGGGTGGGGAAAAACCCTGGAGTAAATATTTCTTGATTGGACCACACTGATGCAATTGCCATAGACCTTTGAACTATTCTATTTTTTAAAATTTTTTTATTTATTTATGATAGTCACACACACAGAGAGAGAGAGAGAGAGGGAGAGAGAGAGAGGGAGAAGCAGGCTCCATGCACGGGAGCCCGACGTGGGACTCGATCCCGGGTCTCCAGGATCGCGCCCTGGGCCAAAGGCAGGCGCCAAACCGCTGCGCCACCCAGGGATCCCCCCTTTGAACTATTCTAAGCTGCCTGTCCCCAATCCTTGCCTGCATCAGCTCTACAAGTGTGACCGTTTCTTCACTTTCAACCCATCTGTGCCACACCATCCTCAAAGTATAACTCAATAACAGTAACTTCCAACCCAAGACATAATGCCTTTGGATGAGTCTACCCTTTGTTATATTGTAAAAAAAAAAAAAAAAAAAAAAAAAACCAAGAACGGATAACCTAACTTAGAAATACTAAGTTATATTTAGTGAATTTTTGGAGTATTTGAAGTAGAAAGTAAGAATAATTTATTCTAAGGGCTTAATAAATGAAAATATTGCAGTGATGATGAATAAATAATTTTAATGATATGGGGTTTATTTTTCTCATACTAGATGTGCTTTTCCCAACAGTGGCACTGTTGATACTTTGTACCAGACAATTCTTTGTTGGGGGAGGGAGAAAGGAGAGGCTGTACTATATATTGTAGAATATTCAATGGCAATCCTGGTCTATACCCACTAGATGCCAGTAGCAATCTCCACCTGAGTGTGACAATCAAAAATATCTCTAGGCATTGCCCAAATCACCCCCTTGCATTATATGTCTTTAAACCAACTGCTTGGGGCACCCCGGGTGGCTCAGCGGTTTAGTGCCGCCTTAGGCCCAGGGCCTGATCCTGGAAACCCGGGATCGAGTCCCACATCAGGCTCCCTGCATGGAGACTGCTTCTCCCTCTGCCTGTGTCTCTGCCCCCCTCTCTCTCTGTGTGTCTCTCATTAATAAATAAATTTTAAAAATAAAATAAACCAACTGCTTGGTAATTTTATCATCTTGAAGCCAAGTAAAAAATGAATTAAAGACAGTGGATCTTCTTCATTTGGGGGTTTTGATGCCTTGCATTAAATACTTTGGACTAAACTACAAAAATTGTTCTTTTTGAAGAAATCTAGGGACTTCATGATAAAAATGGTCAATACTACATTTTAAAATTTGCAGGCATTAGAGTAACTTCTGTTTGAAGTTCATGTCTCTGAACTTTATAAAGAGAGTGCAAGTTTCAGTAATGTGTTGCACAATGGTCTGTGAATTATTTCGGTGAGGGAAAATTAAGAATTTAGCAAGCTGGTGTATCCTGAACAGTAGAAGCTCTGAAAAGTCAAATGAGGCAAAGAGTCTTGAAAGCTTATGAGGTTTGGTGTATTTTTATTTTTATTTTTTAATTTATTTTTTATTGGTGTTCAATTTGCCAACATATAGCATAACACCCAGTGCTCATCCCATCAAGTGCCCCCCTCAGTGCCCGTCACCCAGTCACCACCCCCACCCACCTCCCTTTCTACCACCCCTAGTTCATTTCCCAGAGTTAGGAGTCTGTCATGTTCAGTCTTCCTTTCTGATATTTCCCACTCATTTTTTCTCCTTTTCCCTTTATTTCCTTTCACTAATTTTTATATTCCCCAAATGAATGAGACCATATAGTGTTTGTCCTTCTCCGACTGACTTATTTCACTCAGCTTAATACCCTCCAGTTCCATCCACGTCGAAGCAAATGGTGGGTATTTGTCGTTTCTAATGGCTGAGAAATATTCCATTGTATACATAAACCACATCTTCTTTATCCATTCATCTTTCGATGGGCACCGAGGCTCCTTCCACAGTTTGGATATTGTGGACATGGCTGCTAGAAACATCGGGGTGCAGGTGTCCCAGCGTTTCATTGCATCTGCATCTTTGGGGTAAATCCCCAGCAGTGCAATTCCTGGATCATAGGGCAGATCTATTTTTAACTCTTTGAGAAACCTCCACACAGTTTTCCAGAGTGGCTGCACCAGTTCACATTCCCACCAACAGTGCAAGAGGGTTCCCCTTTCTCCACATCCTCTCCAACATTTGTTGTTTCCTGTCTTGTTGATTTCCCCCATTCTCACTGGTGTGAGGTGGTATCTCATTGTGGTTTTGATTTGTATTTCCCTGATGGCAAGTGATGCGGAGCATTTTCTCATGTGCTTGTTGGCCATGTCTATGTCTTCCTCTGTGAGATTTCTGTTCACATCTTTTGCCCATTTCATGATTGGATTGTTTGATTCTTTGGTGTTGAGTTTAATAAGTTCTTTATAGATCTTGGATACTAGCCCTATCTGACAGGTCATTTGCTAATATCTTCTCCCATTCTGTAGGTTGTCTTTTAGTTTTGTTGACTGTTTCTTTTGCTGTGCAGAAGCTTTTTATCCTGATGAAGTCCCAATAGGTCACTTTTGCTTTCGTTTCTCTTGCCTTCATAGATGTATCTTGCAAGAAGTTGCTATGGCCAAGTTCAAAAAGGTGTTCTCCTCTAGGATTTGGATGGAATCTTGCCTCACATTTAGATCTTTCATCCATTTTGAGTTTATCTTTGTGTATGGTGAAAGGGAGTGGTCTAGTTTCATTCTTCTGCATGTGGATGTCCAATTTTCCCAGCACCATTTATTGAAGAGACTGTCTTTCTTCCAGTGGATAATCTTTCCTCCTTTATCGAATATTAGTTGACCATAAAGTTCAGGGTCCACTTCTGGGATCTCTATTCTGTTCCATTGATCTATGTGTCTGTTTGTGTGCCAGTACCACACTGTCTTGATGACCACAGCTTTGTAGTACAACCTGAAATCTGGCATTGTGATGCCCCCAGATACGGTTTTCTTTTTTAAAATTCCCCTGGCTGTTCGGGGTCTTTTCTGATTCTACACCGATCTTAAAATAATTTGTTCTAACTCTCTGAAGAAAGTCCATGGTATTTTGATAGGGATTGCACTATACGTGTAAATTGCCCTGGGTAACACTGACATTTTCACAATATTAATTCTGCCGATCCATGAGCATGGAATATTTTTCCATCTCTTTGTGTCTTCCTCAATTTCTTTCAGAAGTGTTCTATAGTTTTTAGGGTATAGATCCTTTACCTCTTTGGTTAGGTTTATTCCTAGGTATCTTATGCTTTTGGGTGCAATTGTAAATGGGATTGACTCCTTAATTTCTCTTTCTTCAGTCTCATTGTTAGTGTATAGAAATGCCACTGACTTCTGGGCATTTTGTATCCTGCCGCACTGCCAAATTGCTATATGAGTTCTAGCAATCTTGGGGTGGAGTCTTTTGGGTTTTCTATGTACAGTATCATGTCATCTGCAAAGAGGGAGAGTTTGACTTCTTTTTTGACCATTTGAACGCCTTTTATTTCTTTTTGCTGTCTGATTGCTGAGGCTAGGACTTCTAGTACTATGTTGAATAGCAGTGGTGAGAGTGGACATCCCTGTCTTGTTCCTGATCTTAGGGGAGAGGCTCCCAGTGTTTCCCCATTGAGAATGATATTCGCTGTGGGCTTTTCGTAGATGGCTTTTAAGATGTTGAGGAATGTTCCCTCTATCACTAACTACACTCTGAAGAGTTTTGATCAAGAATGGATGCTGTATTTTGTCAAATACTTTCTCTATTGAGAAAAAAATCTATTGAGAGGATCATATGGTTCTTGTTTTTTCTCTTGCTGATATGATGAATCACACTGATTGTTTTACGAGTGTTGAACTAGCCTTGCATCCCAGGGATAAATCCCACTTGGTCATGGTGAATAATCTTCTTAATGTATTGTTGTATCCTATTGGCTAGTATCTTGTTGAGAATTTTTGCATCCATGTTCATCAGAGATATTGGTCTATAATTCTCCTTTTTGGTGGGGTCTTTGTCTGGTTTTGGAATTTAGGTGATGCTGGCCTTATAGAACAAGTTTGGAAGTATTCCATCTCTTTCTATCTTTCCGAACAGCTTTAGTAGAATAGGTACGGTTTCTTCTTTAAATGTTTGATAGAATTCCCCAGGGAAGCCATCTGGCCCTGGACTTTTGTGTCTTGGGAGGTTTTTGATGACTGCTTCAACTTCCTCCCTGGTTATTGGCCTGTTCAGGTTTTCTATTTCTTCCTGTTCCAGTTTTGGTAGTTTGTGTTTTTTCAGAAATGTGTCCATTTCTTCTAGATTGCCTAATTTATTGGCGTAGAGCTGTTCATAATATGTTTTTAAAATCGTTTGTATTTTCTTGGTGTTGGTAGTGGTCTCTCCTTTTCATTCATGATTTTATTAATTTGAGTCTTTTCTCTCTTCTTTTTAATAAGGCTGGCTAATGGTTTATCTATCTTTGTTTGGTGTATTTTTAAATGTGCTTCTCCAGGTATAGATGGAAA